TAGCTAGTACCATTATAGATACTAGGAAAGGAGTTAATTCTTTTCATTCATTGAATGTCATAAGGCTGGGTGTGGTGGCTCTTATCTGTAATCCCAGCTACTCAGGAGGTAGCGATTGGGAGAGTCAAGGGTGGAGGCCAGGCTGGGCAAAAAAGTTAGTGAGATTCCATCTCAATCAATAAACTGGACATGCTGGTGCTCCCCTGTGGTCCCAGCTACCTGGGAGGCCATGAGTTGGAAGATCTCAGTCAGAGGCTGGCACTGAGCAAATACACAAAACCCAACCTGAAAAATAACTAAAGCAAGTTGTAGAGCACCTGCCTAACAAGCATGAGGCTCTGAGTTAAAAGCCTAGTATCACCTCCCCACCCACCAAAAAAAAAAAAAAAAACATGCCTTAAGTGGGAATCTTCAAAACTGGACCTAGGATGGGTTTTACATTTTTAGATGGTTAGAAAAAAACCCACAAGACATATGTATTGACATATGTTAATATGAAAGTCAAATTTTGTAGTTTGTAAATTTTTATTTGAACAGAGGCATAACCGTTCATTTGTATTTTTTCTGTAGCTGCTTTCCCGCTACAACTACATGCATAGTTGGAAAACAACTGAGACAGACAACAACAAAAATATTTACTATCTGGCCTTTTCTAGAAAAAGATTGCTAAACTGTCTTAGGACATTACAACTCAAGTCTCACAAAACTGGTTGAGAAAGGAGTTTTTGACCCTATGCAGAATTATACTCTGCCTGCATTTGCTGGTTTATTCAGATAATTTGTTTAGTTTTTAATGTAATTCAATGCTTGTCTTTCAGATTATGCCTTCCCGTACATTATATTGGTGTTATCTTTGGTTACTCTAGCTATATACATGTCGGCTTCTGAAATAGAGGTAGGAAATATTTTTTCCTTTGTTAAAGTTTTTTTAAAATAAATTTGACAGTAGAATGTAATAATACATATGATATGATAAAGTACAACTGATCGTTTCAGTAATCCTTGGCTAATTGATACCAGTTGTAGCTTTTAGCTTGTTAGTAAATTTATAGAAGGTTATGTATACTATATTGTGATTTCCTTGGGAAATTAGTGAAATAGTTAAGTAGTCGAGTTCTAATTTACCCACGTAGTGTAAATATAATTTGTGAAATGTTGAAACTTACACTATTTTGACAGGAAACATAAAAGTGCTTTTTGGTATATAGAACTAATTTTAAGTTTTATTTACAATGGCAGCACTATATAACATTCTAATCCCATCTATAGTTTATCCTCAGTTTTAGCATCTCAATTATGGATATTCATTTTTGCCCTAAAATATAACATTTTGGCATTTTAAGATCACATTAGTAGTAGCCACATTAGTTCTGATTCTGCTCTTTTTCTTAGATTGATTTTTGTACCTTGAACTTTTTAGTATTTCAGTGGAAGGCTACTGTGAGAAGGAACTCTATTTTATTGTTACAGTTTTACATATTTAATACAGCATATCACCCCTGTACAAATATGGGAAAAAATTAAGTTTATCATCTCTAAACCACTATGGCTATTAATATCTATAAAATGCCACTCAACACAGTAAACTGGGATACTTTTTTCTAAAGTTGACAGCACAGCTAAAGTTTACAAAAAATTGAAATTATATGTGTGCATGTGTGTATGTGGTATAAATATACACACATACATATATATATATGTCCATATAAAAAGACGATAATAGCAGTCTGAAGTTATCTGAACAAAATTATAGAGACATCCATCCAGCATACTTCATTTAAAAAAATAAAAAGGTTAAAAAACAAAACTGTAGGGCTGGCAGAGTGGCTCAAGTGGTAGAATGCCTGCATAGCAAGTGTGAGGCCATGTTCAAACCCAAGACCACCAAAACTGAATAAACAAAAAACCCAGAAACAAACAGAAAAGAACCTTAAAAGATAGCATGTTTTTAATTTTATATATGTCTTTATTTTCAGAATATTTTAGTCAAAAGTTATATTTTGACTCATGTTCAGATCAGTTGGGTAAAATAGAACATCAAATCGTTACATTTATACTTTTAAATATTCTATTTTAAGAAATTAAGCAATTGTCAGTCAAAAATATGAATAATAAGTGATAAGTAAGTGTTCACTAAACTTTTAATCAAAATGGGTATTTTTGCACATTTGTTTACATGCAGTCTTCAGAAATTTTCCTTCAAAATAATGATGTAACTCTCTGCTTCCATTTATTTTAAAATTTTAAAATTTAAAATTTATTTAAATTTTTGTAGTAAATATGTGAATGTCTGATTTAAGAGCTCTGTTTTGAGGCTAAACTCTAAAGGAATAAAATATAAGGCCTTAGACTTTCCAACCTATGCTTGCCAACCTGGTGGCTGTGAGCTGTCTTTCACTGCTCACCACAGTTCATGTGCTTCCATAATTCTGACGTTAAAAAGGTCACCCAGAGAAAAGAAGTTGCTAAACTCTTTTTGAAGTGATCGCTGTGGATGCCACTTTTTCTAGTACAGTAGTGAAAGGGCGGGGCCCTAGACATCACAGTGACTTTTAGGTAGACAAAGTGGAGGAACTAGACAGAGTATTTTATGATGATTATTCAGTTGTTTCCATTGATAGGCTCTCCTCATCTCCTTTGTAATCTTTAATCAGCATCTCAATATGATGAATTTGAGGACAGGAAATTAGTTTTGGTACTTTTATCAGTTGTAGGGAAAGATTTGAAGAGAGAAATGTTTAGATAGTCTTGCTCTAAGTGAGTTGATGAGTCACATGTAACAAGAGAAAGTTGGCGACTTACTGGCAAATTACACATGATGTGTGTTTATCAGCACAGTAGAGTTACTTTTGTATTAATTTGGTCCGTACAGTTTCTGCCTGTTATATGTTAAAGATTAAAAGAAAATGAGACTATTCACATATCATTTCTGCTCTCCTCTAATTCAGGCAGAAGACTCTGGGAGTGCTAGAGGTTGAGGAAGTTGGGTTTGTTTATCTTCTGTATCCCACTGCAGTCTCAGCACTGCAGTAGACCAGGGCAAGAAGAGAGCATGCAATGTAGACTTCTTCTAGTTCATATCGTTCAGAAGAAACCTTGGTGTTTCAAGAGCGAGCAGTGATGTAGAGGAGGACTTAAGAGGTAGAGAGGCTCTTATCTGGGTGCTGCTGTTGAGTACTTTTATGATCATAGGAAGCTTTGGTTTCCTCCTTTGTAAAATGTGGTGGTTAGCCTGGGTAACTCTTAATATTCGTGTTAGCTCAAACAGTCTGTGATTCCAAGGTTATAACTGAAAAAAAATTATCTAGCCAATTCAGATTAATAATCTGTGTTTCTCTTTTCTTTCTTTTCTAACATTATTTAGAACTGCTATGATCTTCTGGTTAGAAAGAAAAGACTTATTGTTCTCTTCAGCCATTGGTTACTTCATGCCTATGGGATAATTTCCATTTCCAGAGTGGATAAACTAGAGCAAGACTTACCCCTCTTGGCTTTGGTACCTACGCCAGCCCTTTTTTACTTGTTCACTGCAAAATTTACTGAACCTTCACGGATACTTTCAGAAGGAGCCAATGGACACTGAATGTAAAATGCCAAAAAACCTAAGAAGTATTCTTAGTAAAAAAGTAACAATTCTATCATTCATGGGAACATGATTATCAGTGTATCTTATTTTTTTTTTATTTTATCTTTAACTTAATAGACCTATGGTTAGACTTAGAAAAGACAAAAATATTGTGATACTCTACTACACAGTGTAATATTACTTATTACACTAGAAGCCTATCAGCAAGTTTCAGTTATAGAGTACAATTGTGTTTCTGTGGTCCTAGAAATGGGTTGTTCCCATCTTATTAAGAAAAACTTTAGGGCTTGGGGCATAGCTCAAATGGTAGTGGCCCTGGATTCAATCCCTAGTGCAGAAAAAAAATAAAACAGGCATAGCAGTGCAGTGCACACTGTAATCCCAGTTGCTTGGGAGACAGAGGCAGGAGGATCCCAAGTTTGGGGCCAGCCTGGGCAAAGGCAGTGGTGAGAACCCTGTTCTCGAAAACAAAATAGAAATGAAGGAGCTGGGTGGGGGCATAGCATAAGTGGTAAAGCACTTGGCAAACGTGTGCCAGGCCCTGGAATTGATTCCCAGCATTGTTAAAAAACAAAGCAAAAACAGAAAAGGTGCACGGACCTGTGTGTTTCTTTTTTTTAACCTATAATGAATTACAAAGACAAAAATACCTGTGAGTATGATAGAAAACCTGCAAACAAAGTATGTTGTTTCTTGTTATCTATTTATTTTCACCAACACAGTATTTTGATAATATTACAAAAATAGAGCATAATTAATATACCAGGTTTTCTGTTTTCAGACAGTTTGGTTGAAGACATGTTCAGGTTACTGTTCCTGTAAAGAAAGAAAGAATAAAAAGCTTAACTAAAAAAACTCAGATGTTTTGACTTTTTTTTCTGCCACACTAATCATAGAACTAATAAAAATGCCTAGTGGTAAACTTTGGCCTCTTTCCTCAAATTTATTCATGCACTCAGAATTCCCTTTCTCCTGTCTTGTTTTTAAAATACACACACACACACACACACACACACACACACACACATATGCCATACTTTATCAATTGAGACACATTTTTTTCACATTGTGACATTTCTGAATTAGGATGCAGTTTACCACTGATGACTTGTAAATGTAACAAAATACAGAATATGTAAGAAGTCTTACTGGTTGGGTTTTGAGAGCTGTGTGTGATGTGTATACTCTCAAGGCTTCAGAAGACTTAAAGTCACAGCCGTGTTAGCAAAGGAAACATTTAACACTTAGCCTAATAATCGAACATGTTTATCATCCATCAGTATTGTTCAGAAGGTTACTCACTGATTCTGCTACTTGGTGTGGGGATTGACAAGTTAGCTAAATCTCAGACTTTGAAGACTTGTATGAACAGTTGCAAATATGAAAGTAGGTGTACTCACCTTAACTATAGTTTTGTTTATACCTTTTGAATTCAAAGCAGTCGTATTCTTGAGTTATTTTGTTCTTTTTTGGGGACTTTTTTCCTAGTACATTTAATTTCTGAGAAATAGACACATTTGGTGTGCCTTTGTTTCTTCTTTTCTGTAGCAATGAAAAAATTAAAACTTCTATTTGTATCTTGCACACATTTGGTAGTGTTAGTGTCCGTTAAGATCCTGGGTTGTCCAGAGAATTACCAGTGGTAATTATGTAACTGGGTATATGGCAGGTATCACGGGTCTGATTCGCAGGACTACACTCTCTGGTCTCACTGTATTTCAGGTTGTGTAGTCATCATCTAAGATGCCCTATTCTAGCAGAAAATATGTATGCAAAAGGAGAAATCATGTAAGAAATTGTGCTTACAAATCTTAAAAGGCAAAGAATTTTGGGAATACTTAATATCTGCATATCTCATTTGCTTTTATAAAAAAGACTATTAAAGTTTATAGCCACTGTAGTTACTACTGTTACTAAATAATTTGGTAAAACACGTGGTCGTTTAAAATATGCAAACAACCCTTGCCTTGTTCAGCTTTGTTAAGTTTTGATCTAAATCTTCATAGCACATTGTACTTCTCACTGCTACAGTATATGGTAATTATTTTGCTAATCAATCCTGAATAATTTAAAGTCAAAATTTTCTTGATTAATTTGCATCCACTGATAAATCTAACAATCACATTGTTATGTATTTATCTAAAACCATTGGTTTGCAAGACTCGGCTGCTTACTGGAGTTATGTGGAGACATTTGAAAACATGTCTGTCTATACCTCACCCCAGACATTCATATTGGATTGGCCTGAGGTGCAGCCTGGGGATTTTTTTCAAATCTCCATGTGGATCTAATGTTTGAGAACTATGACCTAAACTCTTCTTCATTTACACTGATTTTTCTAAGAGACCTTTTGACAATGACTAGTGAAATGATTTTTTTCTCACTGAAATTTTGATTCTATTATAATTATATAATTATAAGTAGGTTCCTTTCAGACTTAACATGCTCAAAATGAACATAATTATCTTGAGTCATTTTCCATCAGAAACAAAAAGATAACTGGACAATTATATGAACTGATTTTTTTCAGGTCTTCAAAAATCTATTGTAGGTTGGGCATGGTGTAATTGCAGTTACTTGAAAGTTGATCAGATTGCAGTTTGAGGCCAGGAAAAAAGTAAGCAAGACCCCATCTCAACAAAAAAACCAAGGCTTAGTGGTACACACTTGTTATCCCACCTACACTGGAGGTTGTAAGTGTAAGTAGCAGGACTGTGGTCCAAAGCCAGCCCTACACCATAAGACCTTATCAGAAAAATCCCTAACAGCAAAAAAGAGTGAGGGGTATGGCTCAAGTAGTAGACATCTGCCTACAAGAATGAGGTCCTATGTTCAAATCCTAGTAACTACCAAGAAAAAATAAATATCTGTATAAAAAATCTTCCTTAGAAAACTGTCAAAATATCCCTATTTGCAGACGACATGATCCTATACCTTAAAGACCCAAAAAACTCAGAAGCTCTTAGACACCATCAATAGCTACAGCAAGGTAGCAGGATATAAAATCAACATAGAAAAATCATTAGCATTTCTATACACTAATAATGAACAAACTGAAAAGGAATATATGAAAACAATTCGATTTACAATAGCCTCAAAAAATATCAAATACCTAGGTGTAAACCTAACAAAAGATGTGAACGACCTCTACAAGGAAAACTATAAACTTCTGAAGAAAGAGATTGAGGAAGACTATAGAAAGTGGAGAGATCTCCCATGCTCATGGATTGGTAGAATCAACATAGTAAAAATGTCTATACTCCCAAAAGCAATCTACATGTTTAATGCAATTCCCATCAAAATCCCAATGACATTCATTAAAGAGATCGAAAAATCTACCATTAAATTTATATGGAAACACAAGAGGCCACGAATAGCCAAGGCAATACTCAGTCAAAAGAACAATGCAGGAGGTATCACAATACCTGACTTCAAACTATATTACAAAGCAATAACAATAAAAACAGCATGGTACTGGCACAAAAACAGACATGAAGACCAGTGGAACAGAATAGACGACCCAGATATGAAGTCACACAACTATAACCAACTTGTCTTTGACAAAGGAGCTAAAAATATACGATGGAGAACTAGCAGCCTCTTCAACAAAAACTGCTGGGAAAACTGCTTAGCAGTCTGCAAAAAACTGAAACTAGATCCATGTATATCACCCTATACCAAGATTAACTCAAAATGGATCAAGGATCTTAATATCAGACCCCAAACTCTAAAGTTGATACAAGAAAGAGTAGGAAATACTCTGGAGTTAGTAGGTATAGGTAAGAACTTTCTCAATGAAACCCCAGCAGCACAACAACTAAGAGATAGCATAGATAAATGGGACTTCATAAAGCTAAAAAGCTTCTGTTCATCAAAAGAAATGGTCTCTAAACTGAAGAGAACACCCACAGAGTGGGAGAAAATATTTGCCAACTATACATCAGACAAAGGACTGATAACCAGAATATATAGGGAACTCAAAAAACTAAATTCTCCCAAAACTAATGAACCAATAAAGAAATGGGCAAGTGAACTAAACAGAACTTTCTCAAAAGAAGAAATTCAAATGGCCAAAAAACACATGAAAAAATGCTCACCATCTCTAGCAATAAAGGAAATGCAAATTAAAACCACGCTAAGATTCCACCTCACCCCTGTTAGAATAGCCATCATCAGCAACACCACCAACAACAGGTGTTGGCGAGGATGCGGGGAAAAAGGAACCCTCTTACACTGTTGGTGGGAATGTAACTAGTACAACCACTCTGGAAAAAAATTTGGAGGCTACTTAAAAAGCTAGACATTGATCTACCATTTGATCCAGCAATACCACTCTTGGGGATATACCCAAAAGACTGTGACACAGGTTACTCCAGAGGCACCTGCACACCCATGTTTATTGCAGCACTATTCACAATAGCCAAGTTATGGAAACAGCCAAGATGCCCCACTACTGACGAATGGATTGAGAAAATGTGGTATCTATACACAATGGAATTTTATGCAGCCATGAAGAAGAACGAAATGTTATCATTCGCTGGTAAATGGATGGAATTGGAGAACATCATTCTGAGTGAGGTTAGCCTGGCCCAAAAGACCAAAAATCATATGTTCTCCCTCATATGTGGACATGAGATCAAGGGCAAACACAACAAGGGGATTGAACTTTGATCACAAGATAAAAGCAAGAGCCCACAAGAGAGATAGGAGGATGGGTAAGACACCTAAAAAACTAGATAGCATTTGTTGCCCTCAACTCAGAGAAACTAAAGCAGATATTAAAAGCAACTGAGGCCAATAGGAAAAGGGGACCAGGAACTACAGAAAAGGTTAGATCAAGAAGAATTAACCTAGAAGTAACACACACGCACAGGAAATCAATGTGAGTCAATGCCCTGTATAGCTATCCTTATCTCAACCAGCAAAAACCCTTGTTCCTTCCTATTATTGCTTATACTCTCTCTACAACAAAATTAGAGATAAGGGCAAAATAGTTTCTGCCAGGTATCGAGGGGGTAGGGGGGAGAGGGAGGGGACAGGGTGGGTGGTAAGGGAGGGGGTGGGGGCAGGGGGGAGAAATGACCCAAGCATTGTATGTACATATGAATAATAAAATAAATAAATAAATAAATAAGTAAATAAATCCCATGCTATCTGAAAGAACTTAAAAAAAAATGAAAAATCTTCTTTAGAGCATGTGTTGAGATATTTGGTTAAGGCAAGGTGTGGTGGTTCACAGCTATAATCCCAGCTACTTAAGAAGTGGACAGGAGGATGGAGGTTCGAGGTCAGCCCAGGCAAAAGTTAGTAAGACCCCATCTCAAAAACAAGCTGGTCATGGGGGGCATTTCTGTAATACCAGCTACAGGGGAGGTAGAGGTAGGAGGATCACAGTTTGAGGCTGGCCTGGGCAAAAGTTCAAATGGTTCTCTCCGAAAAACAAACTAGAACAAAAGGACTGGGGAGAGGCTCAAGAGGTAGAGTACTTGCCTAGCAAGTACAAAGCCCTGAGAGTCCAATCCCTAGTTTCACCCCACCTCCAAAAAAAGATTCAGTTAGTATACAGATTAACTTATCTGTCCCTAGGTTACAGTTATATATATATATATATATAGTATAATATCAGTGACTTGGAATTTTAAAGCAAAATTCTTTTTTAGTACTGTAAAAATAATCTGTCGTAAGTTATAAAATAACTTATTTACCTTTTTTTTTTTATAAGAAGGAACATTAAGGTAAAAAGTTACCCTAGTTTTAGGTAAAGACTGGCTGTGTTCTGACAAGCCCACCCCTTCCTCTTGCCAGCTGGAGCCCCCAGGAAAACACTAGGCAGCCACATGACTTGCAGTTCTTGGCCAGCTGATGTCTGTGCTGCTTCTGAAAAATGTCCCTGTATGCTCACAATACCCACTGAGACTAGAGTTTTCCCTCCTGTGGCCACTTGCTAGAAGAGATCCAGTGTATTCTCACCATCTCTTCATTTGTCTGGTTCTCACTGGGTGTGCACTGTAAGGTTCAGGTCCTGGTCTTATTCAGCACTGTCACTGTAACATCCAGTCCACTGCCAGGCTCAAGGGCCCTCTACATTAGAGAAGCCAGTGCAATGGTCAGGAAGGACAGAGCAGGACCTGCGTGGCTGCAGTGATGTGTTGTGTCCAGAAGAGGACAGGAGAGGGCTATTGAGCTGGCGTTTCCAGGAGAGATCCTTCTGTGAAAGAAGCAACTCAACAGGAAACCAAAGCTAGGAGATTGTAGGCGGCTCAGAGATGGTCTAGTAATTAATTCCAGGGCCAAATTTTTATCTCCCCAGAAAGGTGGCAGATTAGAGATCTGATGCGTGCTAAATGGGTCCGATGTTTTATAACTCCTGATAGCCCTGATATTTCACAACTGGGGAAATTGAGGAGGGGAGATTAAGTAACAGGGAAGAAGCAAAGCTGGGATGAGTGCAGGTCACACACCAGCACCCACACAGTGCCAAAGCCCCAGGAGTGGAGATGGATAGAACTCTGGGAAGCCAGAAGCCTTGTCTTCAGATCTCAGCTGTCTCCTGAGCTTCAGAAACCTCCTTAACCAGGTTATTTCTCTCCTAGGTTCTTTTACACTTCTTACACTCCTCCTTTAGTACACTTGGGTTTTATATACATTTCTATGATGCTTGATTTTCCCACTGTACCTGGGGTGGACAAGTTGCAGCCTAGCATGTAATTCTATAATGATGGAGTTAAGTAGTTGCTATGGAGACCACAGATCTAGCAAAATCAAAAATATTTATAATCTGACCCTTTACAGGAAAAGTTTGCTGAACCCCTTTCCTAAACTATGAGTTCCATTTGGGCAGGAACAATTATCTGTTTCATTCACCATTGTAACCCAGATGTCTAACATGGGGGTTGGCACAGAATAGACACTCAGTAAGTACTTGTTGAATACAAATTAGCATTAGCAGTAAAATGCAAGATGGAATCTAAAAAACAAATCTCAGTCCAATTATCAATATTTTATTGGCTGCAAATAGTACTGAATTTTAAATTGAAATTCTGTCAGCCAATAATCTAGCTACTGAAAATATATACTCAGTAAGAATATATTTATATTTGTCATAACATTGACTTTTTTTCAGTTTCAATAAAAATTTTATTTTCCCTGGATTGATCATTGTGTAATAGTCTGTTCATCATAGTCCAGAACTTAAGCAATCAGCCTTTATTCTCCTTTGTGTCTCAGCTTATGTGATCCTTAGGGTTTACTGTTTGCCAACCAAGCTCACCCTCTGTACGAGTGACCAAACGAGAACTTGTCAACATCAACACTATTTCAGGGTTAACAGACTTCTTTTCTTTTTTGGTGGTACTGGAGTTTGAACTCGGGGCCTTACACTTGGTAGGCAGGCACTCTACCACTTGAGCCACTGCCTATTAGCAGACTTTTTCTGCATAGTGCCAGACTGTGAATATTTTAGGCTTGGTGGTCACATGGCCTCTGTCACAGCTACTCTGACACTATAGCATAAAAACAGATATATGTAATGTGTGAACAAATGAGCATGGCTATGTTTCTATAAAATGATATGGACACAGAAAATTGAATTTCATATAATTTTATGATGTCACTTAATACTGAGCTTTTGCAAGCATTTAAAAATATAAAAACACATTCTTAGCCCCGGGCTGTACTAAAACAGAAGGGGGGCTGGTTTGGTCCCGGGATGCTGATCCCTCTATGTCAATGACTCGCCCAGGAGTACTCAAAACATTCTGACCATATGGAAAAATGGGAAACAACTGAGAATATGGGGAACTGTTCAAAACCAAAAGACTCCAAAGCTTCCATCTTGCCACAGTTCTTATCAATTTTTAAATTTTCCTCAATGTCTGAGACTTGGTGATGCTAATGACAACTAGAATAGAAATTTTGATCATGGAATGTGTATGTGAGTGGTCTTCAAATTATTTTGTCTGTCCATCTATATCTGTGCCCCAATTTATTTACAAATATACAAATTATATATTGAGAGAGACTGACAAGTAGGTACACAATATTAAATATAGACAAAAATAGAAATTTAAAGGGATGAAAAGTTGAATATAAACAGAATTTTTAATATTTGATTCTCTATGATCTTTGGAGATCACTGGTTGCCCTAGAATCTATAATCTATGATCTAGAGTCTACATCATAACCAATTATTAATAGACTAGCCTTCAAGCACAATTGGAAAAGTAGGGGACTACCCCAATGTGGTCAGAAGACAAATTAACCCCTGTCATGGGCTGCATGTAGAGATAATTTAGCTCTTAAAATTCTACTTGATCTACAGAGACAGGGATGGCCAGGCCTAGCAAAGGAAATGCAAAGAGAGGCCAGGCCCACTATGGATCATTAGGGCACTTACATAACAGCAAGATCATAAGAGGGTTTACCCACAAGAGTTTAATAAGAATTTGTCTGGAAAATGTTTTTTAAAAGTCAAAAGAAGTTAAGATTCAGTTATCTAGACAATTCTCTCTTCTATCTGATAGGAAGAAGAATTGGCAAATAATTCTAGCATATTTAGCCCACAAGTGAGTATGGATTTTCAGTTGAATGTTTGTGACATTACTGAAGATGAGTTACTTGGCACTTTTTTTTTCCTTCTAATAATGGCACCACCTACAGTTAAATAACAGTGAGTTCTGTGTTACCCAATGTGGTAAGCTGTTGCTTCTGAAGAAGGTCTGTTGGTGATTCCTGATTCATAAGGAAACGCAGCTCTTCAAGATTCCCTTGTAGCCAAGTGCTGATGCTTTCGATATTTTCATCCCTTTCCCGCAGCTTGCTTACTAGATCTCTTATTTCCTTCAAGACCTCGTCACCATTACACGCCAAGTCCTTAAAGAAATGGGATTGGGTGAATATAAATTCAACGAAATAAATAAAAACACATTCTGTCTGACTAGATTATTTTCAAAGAAAAATATATGCAAAATTGGCACTAGTCATGCAAAATAAGTGTGTGTATACGGGCAGTTCACAAAGTTCTGTGAAAGAGTTCCAAAAAATGGATCATCAAATGAGAAGATTTAACAGAATACTTGCTGACCTTGAATTTTTAACTGGATATGGTAGAGGCAGTGATAGCATAAAAATCTGGATCTCCCCCAGAGCAGCACAGAACTGCAGAGTTGCTAATGCTTAAGAGAAGAAACTTTGGAGTCAGGTAGGTTCTGACTTTTAAATTTAAGGAAGGTTACTTAAACTCTGAGCCACTGTACCTTCATCTCAAAAAGGCATTATTAACACTTCTCCTACTCAGTCCTCAAGGGGCTAAACACGGATTTTATGTAACCTATTAAGTACTTAGAACGTGGATTTAAATTCCATCCTATCTTATTCTAAAGTGAGGGGAGCAGAGATGTAGCATGGCTAGTAATATGTGAAGAGAGTTTAGAACTGACAACTTTGTCCGAAAGCAAACAAAAGACATTTGAGTTTACGAAAGGAGGTGGGGGAGGGAGGGAGAGGAGAGGGAGAGAGAAGAAAGAGGAAGAGGAGAAAGTTTTCCAAAGAATTGAGATTTCATAATGACATTTGACACAATGGATACATCTTAAGATGTGATGGTCACACCAGCTGTTACTCTTCTGTAGTTCTGAACTCCTGTTCTTATGCACATACACACACACACACACACACAACACACACACACACACCCTCACCTGAATTGTGGCCTGAAATTCTCCCCACAAATCTGTATATCGTGCTGAAATAGATTTTAAAAACAATTTGAAGATTTTTTATAAAACAAGTATTAGGTATTTAATACCAATTTTAGCTTTTTACATTTTAATGTGTTTCAGCATAAAATTTTCATTCATATATATAATGCTCTTTGATCATATTCAGAACCATTAATCCTCTCTTGTCTCCACACTGGTTCCTTTCTCATCCCAAATAGTCCCTCTTTCAAGTTCATGACTATTTGTTTTGACATCTAGATGTTAAAAAAAAAAATCTAGATTTCTCTTATACAAGAGAAAACATGTACTACTTGTCTTTGTGAGTTTGGCTTATTTTGTTTAATGTGATGATCTTCAGTTCCACCCATTTTCCTGCAAATGACATAATTTCATTTTTCTTTATGGATGAATAAAACTCTATTGCATATACATACACCACATTTTCTTTACCCATGCTGCTTTTGTTTTTCAAAAATTATTTTTATCTAAAAAAATTTTGTTTCCAAAATGACAGAATAACTGGGTCAGACTTGCCCTTCCACTAGCTTTCTGCTGGGATACACTTTCCAGACCACAGCACAAACAGAGCAAGGTGATCTTGCATACAAACACAAAAATCTTCACAAAGATTAGCAAATTGAATTCAGCAAGAGATTAAAAACTAAATAAGTAAAAGCTCTTGAACAAGTGGGCTTTCTTTTCAGGAATGGGAGATTGGTTTAACAACCAAATAAATCTCCATTGATGCAATTCACCACATTAGCAGCACAACCTGAGAAATACCACCCAGTCCTCTTAGGGGAGACACTGCTGCAAAGGCCAATCACAAGGCTCTGTTTGCCTGCAGGACCAACCCTTCAATGGCCTGGACACCGAAGCATGGAGAACTCTCCCTGCTTGGCGACACTTCGCATATGTGGTCATGCACTGCTGCTGGGGAAATGAAGTGCATCTACAGAACTCCTTAGGGAAAGGACTTTTGGGCACTGGACACTTGCATCTGTTTTCCTTCATACTGTGTCCCACATGCCTTTTCCTTTTGCTGGTTTTACTCTGCAGCTTTCACTGTAATAACAACAAAAAAAAAAAAACAAGAGTATAGTGACTTGTGAGTCCTGAGAATCTTTCTAATGAGTCATTAAGTCTGAAGGTGGTCTTGGGAACAGCTGGTACTAAACCAAAAGATGCAAAATCTTGTTGAAATTAAAGAACTAAATAAATGGAGATATATTTAATTTTGTTAAGATGTCAATTCTCCTAAAACTGGTTTACATAATTCACACAAACCCAATTAAGATCTCAGCAGGCTTTGGTGTGTATAGATCAAAAGTGAATCCTAACATTTATATGGAAAGACGTAGAATATTTAAAACAAGTTTTTAAAAGAAGCACGAAGGTGAGAACTTTATTTGCTTTCTAGAATGTTTATGAAGCTCTAGAGAGTATGGTGCCAGTATAATGTTAGAATGAAAAAATTAACTTTTGACAAGAGTTTCCAGGTTATTAGAGTGATGAGAGGGTAGTCTTTTCCAAAAATGGTGGGGATCACCTGAATATGTGTAAGAGAAAACTATGAAATTCTACCCTTACTTCATAGCATAGGAATACATTCTCTTGAAATGAATCAGAGAAACAACTAAAACTAAAAAGTTGTAGGAGAACATGTTTAAGATCTTGGGATAAGAAAAATGTCATAGGCATTGCACAAAAAAGTGCTAATCCTAAAAGACAACGTGGATAAAGTAGATTCAAATGAATAGTTTTTATTCTTTTCATGACACCATTAAGAAAATGAAAAGTCAAGCCTCAGATTGAAAAAGGACTGATTTCCTGAAAGTGTAGAGACTTCAGCTCAATAATAAGAATGCTAACAACATGGGGTAATGGGCAAAAGACTTGAACAGACATGTAGCAGATTGCAATTTCCAAAGATGGCTTCCCATGCCATTCCATTCCACATGCCTCTTCCCAGCATGGTGCTGACCACCCTCCCCCATTAACTGGTTGTCTTGGCGCCACCTCCTCTTGTTTCTGAGTAGCCATTTTAACCCCAGGGTAATGTGGGAGTAGCACTCTGACTTCTTAGGCTAGGTCATAAAAATGTGGTGAATTTCTACTTTCTTCTCTTGGGTGTACAGAAGGCCAAGCAGCCAGATGCAGGGGCCATGAGGAGGTGTTCTGGCTGGTACTCTTCCCCTGAGTCTATTTGAGAGCCACAACCAACTTCAAACCCACAAATGAGTGGGTCTTCAGCCGATTCCAGCTCCCAGCCTTCCAGTTACTCGGGCTGATACCCTGCAGAGCAGACAAGTTGTCTCCAATCTCTCATCAAATTGCTAATTTGTGAGCAAAGTAAATTATTTCCTTTAAGCCATTGTTTTTTTTGATATTTGCTATGTGCAATAGGTATCTGGTTCAGGACACATTGCAAAATGGCCAAAAACCAATGAACTCATAAGGAATGACAACATTACTCATAAGGAAAAGCAAATTAAAGCCGCAATGAAATGTCACTTCGTATCTATTAAAATAGCTAAAATGTTAACACTTTTAATGCTTTGAAAATTTTAAGTGTTGGTGACAATGTAGAACACTGGGAACTATTCTACATTCCTAGTGAAATGAAAAATTTGTACAACTAACTGGCAACCTAGCAGTTTCTTAAAAGGTAAATATACACTAATCATATTACCCAGCAATTCCACTCCTAGGTATTTATCCAAGAGAAATCTTTAAAAACCCACAAAAATCCCTCTAAACAAATGTTAGCAGTTGTCTCATTTGTAATAGCCCCTAAACCAAGGACAATTCAGACGTCCTTCAACTGATGAACTGATAAATAAAACATGGCACATCCAAACAATGGGGTACTACTGTACAGCAGTAGATAGAAGCAAACTCACGGTCCAAGAAACAGCACGAATGAATCTTAACAAACGTTTTTGCTGATTCAAAGATGCCAAGTTCAGAAGAATGCACACTCTACTCTTTCATTTTATCTAATCACTAGCATTGGAAGCAGATCAGTGGTTTCCAGGAACTGGAGGTGGGCTGAGACATCAACTGTGAAGAGGCATGAGGGAAATTCTGCAAGCATAAGCTGTTCAAGGGCTGGTGGAGCGGCTCAAGTGGTAGAGCGCCTGCCTGGCAAGTGGGGGCCTGAGTCCATACGAGGTACTGCACACCCCTCATCCCCAAAATGTTTTAGACCTGGCCGAGGTGGTAGTGGTTGCAGTGGTACATTTATCAAACTTTATTATTGAATTTAAAATAGATGCATTTTACTATGCAAATTGATGAAACTGATTTAATGTGCCCATGACACATTACTTACCATGCTGAATTAACAGTTGCCAGGACAGGTCACCTGAGTGCTGCAGAATGACTTCTTTTCCTTTTTTATATGTCTCTACCTTGGCTTTCAACTTGGAAAGATACTAGAAATAAAAGGCATGTAATTGCTTTTAGCAGCCTGGATATTGCTTATTTAGTAAATATCCACACAGTCCCTCTGTGAACACTTATTGATCCCTCCCTCTGCACCACCAAGTGTTCTAGATGCAGGGTAAAAATGACCAATGCCCTTGTCACGCTTCCATCGGAGATAGAGCATCCTGTATCCTAGTAAGCATTTCAACATCCAAATATACATGGCATTCTGAATATAACTTTACACAATAAGAAATTAAAAGGTGTTCTGTCTGAACGCATCATGTCCACAACAAAAATATTCCTTATGCAAAATACAGCAATGAAAATGTTCATTCTTTTAATAAATAATGGATGTTATCTTTATAGGATAAAGTGGAATACTATCCTATAAAGTGGAATACTATCATGAGTGGATGAAATTCCTTGTAAGTTTTCTTAAGGGTTAGAAAAATTAAGATGGGTATTATATGTAAGGGATATTCATCTTTTATATTTTCAAAGAATATTAGCACTTATTATGCCATTTTAATTATCAGAAAAACAAGTGAGGTATGTTGTTTCTTCAGCATTAAAAATTCTAAAAAAAAGGAGCATCTTAGTTTTGTCATCTAAAAAGGGCCATAACATATTATCCATTTTTATGAGGTTACTATGAATATCAAATGAGACCAAATCCCTCTAAGATGTGAAGCACTGTGCAAAACTATTGGGATACATTGATACAGACTCTGATCTTGAGGTTATTTTATTGAAAAAAGTGATCTTTTAAGAAATTGCAATTCCTTTAAACTTTCAGTTTAGAAAGACTTGTGAGGAGTCATTTCCATTTTAAGAGAACAGAAATGAAGCAAGTTAAGGATTTGTCCAAAGTGACAATGTCACTAGTGGGTGACAGACTCTAATTCAGGTCTTTCACACTAGGAAATATTAGATGAACTGTTGTTCTTATTGTTTTGCCACAGAATGTGGAAATTATATACAATACATATTTTTTGGATATAATTCTGGGCATTAAAATCAGTGGTAAATCTAATTATTAAACTTAATATTTGAAATATTAAAATGAGTAGATCTAGGGGGTGGGGGAAAGGGGGAGAAATGACCCAAACATTGTATGCACATATGAATAAGATAAAAATTTAAAAAAAATAAAATGAGTAGATCTTAAGTATAAATAAGTAAGCCTCAATCTCTTGAGATATAACCTATAAAATTAAAGTTCATAAATTGAGACTGTAATATAAACATAAACAAATTTCTATGCTGACAAGAGCAATTAATATGATAGCTTATTTTTTTAATGGGCAAAAACCTCGAATAGGCACTTCACAAAGGAGGATATCCAAGTGGCCAAGAAGATATGTCAGTTATCAGTGGGACACTCATAATTTACTGATAATTTAGCCAGAATGGCTATTCTAAAAAGAACAGTTTTGAGAATGTGGAACCACCAGTGCTTGCAGGCATTGCTGGTGGGAGTGACAGTTGGTGCGACAGCTTTGGAAGACTGGCAATCTGTATTAAGATGGAAGATGTGTAGTCCTAATACATAGTAATTCCAGATGAGATATATACCCAACAGAAATATATATGTTCACAAAAATGTACTTGAATGTTCATAGCAACAATTTTTGTAATAGTCCCATCAACAGTAGAGTGTTTAAATAAACTGCAGTACCATTATACAGTGGACTATTATACAGAACTAAGAATAGTGAACTAACTACATTCAGCAATGAGGATGATGGTAAAAAACAAAAACAAAAAAACAGTAAGGATGATCCTCACAAATACAAATTGAGCGGAAGTGTGTATACGTTATCGTTCTATACATATAATATTTGAAGCTAGGTAAAACTAGTGTATGGTGTTAGAAGCCAGTAAATGGTACTCTTGTGAGAAGGGTTAGTGCCTGGAGGGTCATAGAAGATACCTGGATAGTGTGAAAAGATTGTTTGAAGAGCTATTCTCTTCTTTTCTCTCGTAACTGTTACATGCCTAGGCAATCATTCAAAACCACTATGCAAAGTGAGGTGCTCTTGAACTTACTTCTTTTAGTCTTTTGTTTTCCAGAATAAAAAAGCTTACTTTTTGGTCATCTTTATAGATTTCATATTCTAAGTTCTTTAGAACTTCGAAATAAATTTTGGTTTTCTTGCTTTCTGTATCTCGTAACTGTTTTAATTCTTCTTTAACTGTCTCCTGTTCAAACATAAAAGTCACAATTGTCTCATAGAGTTCAAAGAACAGAGAGCCAGGGTATTTAGACAGCATAGACTATATTCAGAGCAGGGTTTCACAGTAATTCCTGAATCATCCTGCTGAGATGATGGGCACCTTCCCTTATAAAAACTTTCACACCCCAAAGTTGAGTCATGAAAATTTATTCATGAACTTTGGAAAGGGAGCCTGTGGATCCCCAAGTTAAGTATCCCAGACATGAGATGACTTCACCAAGTGGAATATATTTTCACATATGAACACTGCCTGGAAAAAACAGGAAATAGGGGAGGAATTGTCTGAGGCTTTTAAGGAGAATTTAATATTTATGAAGAAAAAAGAAAATCACTTTATGGATTTTAAAAACTGAATCCTCTATTCAATTATTTGTTATTATACTGTTACAAACCATGTGTTTTTTATTCATCATATGATCCTCACTATTTTATTAATCCATCAATGGATTAAATCATTGATCAAATCAGAGCCCTTGTGATCTAAGCACCCTGGAAATGCCTTCACAGACACATGCAGAGGGCTGTTTCACTAATCTCCCTGACATCTTTCTACCAAATCAAATTGACAATCAGGATTAATCATGAGGGAGAGAGAGAGAAAGAGAGAGAGAGAGACAGAGAGATTGAAGACTGGAACCAATATTGTATAATCTTCAGCATATTATAAAGCAGAACACTTATCTGTTGTGATTTTCTTTTTCATTTTTCTCTGCACCCCTATTAAAAACTACTTTTGATATCAGTGTGTTTCAAATAAGAGGATGCTTCTATTTTTAATTAACCAACTCCATAGGCATAGCTTATCACTAACTATTGATTATACATTTTAAAAGGTAGTAAACACCTCTTTACCTGTTACTATCTTGTCCTTCCCAACCATAGCCTCTGCACTCTCATTAAAAGGCATGATCCATTCTTTACCTAATGAATAAAGAGACGGAGGTGTCCTCAATGATTTTTTCTCACCATTACAGGGTGAGTTGGTTCCAGCATCCTCATCCTCTCTCTCTCCCTCTCTCTCTCTCTCTCTCTCCCTCTCCCTCTCCCTCTCCCTCTCTCCCTCTCCCTCCCTCCCTCTCTCTCTCTCTCTCTCTCTCTCTCTTTCTCTCTCCCTCTCTCTCTCTCTCTCTCTCTCTCTCTCTCTCTCTCTCCCCGTCTTTCTCTTACAGTTATTGTTCATTGTTAACTTGATTGCATTGAGACACTTGGGAGATTAGGAAAGCACCCCTCTCGGTGTGTCTGTGAGGGTGTTTAGAGAGATCATGAAGGTGCTGATCTAATCAATGGTCTAATCCATTGACAGATTCAAAATTTTAATAGACTATTGAGAGGTGGTCAAACTGTGGAAGGTGGGGCGAAGTGAAGGAAGTAGTCACTGGGGGCGTCTTTTGAAGGATATATCTTGGTTCTGGCCCCTTTTTGTTACTTCTCTTTGCTTCCTGCCTGCTATGAGATGAGCAGATTCCTTGGCCCTACCCTTTCTCCATCACGTTCTGTGTTGTCAAAGGCCTAAAAGCAAAGGAGCCAGACAACCATGAACCGAAACATTTGAATCCATAAACCACAATCAGTCTTTCCTCCCTTCAGTGGATTTTTTTGGGGGTATTTGCACAGCAATGGAAAAACCAACACACACAATTCCTTTTTCTCCATATACATTTATATACCCATGTACATATACACATAATGTACATATGTATATATATATAAACACATATACATATATATGTGTTAAAAATTTTAAAACATTGACATTGAAGGAATAATTTTTAAGGTGGGAAATGCTTTCAAAATTTAATTTGTAAATAGGAATAATTTTAATAATTGTGGATTTCATGAAAATTTCAATGGTGCCAGGTAAATAGGACTGTCTGTATATACCAGTATTCTAATGAAAGAAAGAAGAATGAGACACCAGGAGTGGTGGCACACATCTATAATCCCAGCAGTTGGGTAGAGAAGGCAGGAGAACCCCCAGTCTGAGGCCAGCCTGAGTTATATAGCAAGACCGTGTCTCAAAAAACCAAGGACTGGGGATGTAGGTCAGTGGTAAAGCACTTGCCTAACATGCAAAAAGCCCTGGGTTCCCTCCCCAGCACCACAGAAAGAAGAACAAGAGTAATTGAATGCACAGATCCTTTACCGTGTTATCAAGGTATCTTGTAATGTCCCTTGTAAAGACAGAAATGTTATTGCTCAATAATTGCTCTTCCTGCTTTTGTGCTATTTAAAAAAGAGAGAGAAATAACTGTCCACAAAGTTTAGTTTAAAAAAATTAATCAAAGTTAAGGCATGTGGTTAAAGTCAAATACTGTTAAAAACTATTACTATTACCCTGATGAAAACCAGCCATCAGCTGCTCCCCAAGACTGAGTCTAACACCATGTCTGACTCCTCAGAATCTACCACTTTTGACTCTCTTTTTTAGTTGTTTCTTCTCCACAGAGATCAATTTTCTTAAAATACATGCTTATACAGTTATTTCTTGATTAATCACTTTAAGACATTTTCTATTTTCTTCTTACCATAGTAGGGGGGGGGGAACTTAATATACTTACTCTCATCTCCCCAACCCCCACCCACACTTATTACCTTCCTCTAATCTCCCCATAAAGCAACAAATTTTAACTGTTTAGATCATTTTTATGACAATTTAAGGAATAGTCACTGAGGAGTCAAATGGTATGTCATAGTATGATTATATTTCCTCTTTTTAAAATAATTTTTTGCTCTTTATGGAGGTAAAAATTTCTTTAAAAAACTTAGTGTTCCATGTACACATCATTAATTCACATCAAATTCTACAACATATTTCTCATTGCTGTGGTTTGGATAAATGTTCCCCTGCCAAAGGTTCATGTTTTAAATGCTTGGTCTCCAGGATGCTGCTATTGGGAGGCAGTAGAACCTTTAGCAGGTGGAGATGAGTGGAAGGTCCTTGGCTCACTGCGGGTGTGCCCTTGGAAGGGATTGTGGGACCATGGCCTCTTCTCTTTCTCTATGCTTCCTGGCTGTGAGGTGAGTAGTTTGCTATGCCACTCATTCTCTGCCATTATCATCCAAGCACATCAAACAGAGGCTCCAAGCAGTGAGTCTGCTCAATCTTAGACTGGAACCTCTAAAACTGTGAGCTGAAATAAATCCTTTCTCTTTATCAAATTCATGAGGGAAACTCTTGATCTCATTTCTTTCCTGTTCTTCACAGCCCCTCCGAGTCTTCTTTCCCAAAAGGGAAAGCTGATTCACAGCTTTCTAAGACTTCCCTTTGCCTTTCTCTTATGCTGAACTTTCTGTTTCTTGAAATTCATATCCTCCTCTTTTTCTCGACTGATTCTGTTTGTTAAAGCAAATTTTGTATTGGCTTCATGAGAAAGGTTAAATGAAATAAATCTAAACATGTCTCTATTCTATATTTACACTTGACCGATAGTGTGGCCAGTTCTCTGATGTTTGAAGTATATACCCTCAGAAATTTGAAGGTCATTGTCTTCTTACTTCTCGTATAATATTCTTGTTAAGAGGTCAAAGCCTAATCTGATCATAACCTTCTGTGTGAGATCTACTGTTTTCTGTCTGTCTAGAATCTTTAGGATCTTCTCTTGCTCTCCTTTTTTCTTTTTTTAAAATTTTTTTATTATTCATATGTGCATACAATGCTTGGGTCATTTCTACCCCCTCCCTTACCCCTCCCCCCCACCCTTCCCTCTCCCCTCACCCCCTCGATACCCAGCAGAAACTATTTTGCCCTCATCTCTAATTTTGTTGAAGAGAGAGTATAAGCAATAATAGGAAGGACCAAGGGTTTTTGCTAGTTGAGATAAGGATAGCTATACAGGGAGTTCACTCACATTAATTTCCTGTGCATGTGTGTTACCTTCTAGGTTAATTCTTCTTGATCTCACCTTTTCTCTAGTTCCTGGTCCCCTTCTCCTATTGGCCTCAGTTGCTTTTAAGGTATCTGCTTTAGTTTCTCTGCGTTGAGGGCAACAAATGCTAGCTAGGTTTTTAGGTGTCTTACCTATCCTCATATCTCCCTTGTGTGCTCTCGCTTTTATCTTGTGATCAAAGTCCAGTCCCCTTGTTGTGTTTGCCCTTGATCTAATATCTGCATATGAGGGAGAACATATGATTTTTGGTATATTAGGCCAGGCTAACTTCACTCAGAATGATGTTTGCTCCCCTTTTTTCTTTGTGAAATGCCACAATGATATCATTTAGTGGTTTTTTAAAATCTATGTTGTTCTAAGGATTGGATGGAATCTTTCATATCAGAAACTCAAAATTCTCAGTTCTGAGAAACATTTTTCTAGTTTTAAAAATAATGTCATCCTTTCCATTTTTCTTTCTGTTCACTTTATTCTGGTCTCCCTGTTAATTATATTTTTAATATCTCAGAATAACCTTTTAATTTTTTAGCCTTTTATCCTTTTCCTTATCTGTTTTTGTTCTATTTTAAAAAAGATTTCCTTTTTTTATACTCTCAAATTTCTAAAGTTTAATCATGGTTTTCATTTCTCAGATCCATTTCTTGTTTTCAGTTTGGTCTTTATTTTAAGCATTGTGTTCTTTTTCCATACATGTGGTGTCTTTATTTCTCTAAGAATATACTCTTTGAAAGTACTCTTTGCTTTTTGCATTATCTATATTCCTACCAAGTTCTTTTTTTCTGTCTGCTTCAGTTTCTGTCTTTCACACTGGATACTTCAGGAGATGTCTTGGGATTTTTGTCTAATACCACTTAAAAGTGAAACACTCAAAGTTTTGGCTGCTGCATGTGCTTTACTCTACAGTGCCCAGGAAGGGATCAGCCATTTTTGAGAAGGGGTCAATATCTGTGGGTGCATCATTTCCCAGAACTGTTCAGTTTCCTTAGAGGAAGACTCCAACAGTCTCCTTCTTCAAGGTGGGGTAAGGGACTATGGAAGGAGTAAATCTTTTTTGTTTTTAAAGACTATTTAAGGCCAGGCCCGGGTGGCTCACGCCTGTAATCCTAGCTACTTAGGAGGCAGAGATTAGGAGGATCGAGGTTTGAAGCCATCCTGGGCAAATAGTTCACGACTTTATGGAGTGGCTCAAGGTGTAGACCCTGAGTTCAAGCCCTGGTTCCTCAAAAAAAAAAGACTATTTAAAATTAATACTTTTGTTCACCATAGTATGTTGTCTTTCTCCATACTTGGTAAAGGTAGAATCAACTCTTTTATCTGCTAAATGTGGAGACATTTTCTATTTCTTACCATGAATTGGTATCTTGCCTCTGCATGACATTTCCTGTTTCTCACTATGACATTGCCACAACCAGCTGGCAGTACTCATCAAGCTGAGCAGTGAAAGGGGATCCTGGCACAGCTCTCCTCTTCTGCCCTAGCTGCATGGGTTTCCCTGCAGTTTGGAACCTTCTGGTCCAATTTCTTTGCCAGAATTGAGGGGGAGGAGTCACTTAGCTACTGCACAAAAAAAGGAGGGATTTGACCCGGAGGTCTGACTGCTTTTAATAGTCATCTAGTCAGTCTTTAGCCCCATGACTCACCTGGGTCATCATCATCCTGGGTTGCACCAATGTCTATGCCTTTCTGGGTTCTGTGCAGGGAACTTTTGGTCATTTAATTTATGGTGTCCTTTTCTGTAGGCAATTTCTGTTTATGCTTCAACTCAATTATACTTGCCCAAAATTTGTTGGTGTTATCAGATAATACACAAATACATAATCAGCAGATAATAAATATCTTCCCAGACAGTGTCTTGGTGTAGCAGGGAGGATGACCAGAAGAGAAACAGACAGGCTGTGTTCTGATAATGAGGCAGGAAGAAGGGATGGCAAAGCAGAGATAAAACTAAAAGAATTGAAACATGAAGGTCACATAACATAACACTGGGGGAATGAAATAGCCAATGAAATCACATGCAGCCATATGTGAGTTGAGCTTTGCTTTTTACTTCTGTAACCTGCTTGCAAGTGTATGTAAGGTGAGACCCCTTTGTTCTCAGGGCTCAGCCTTTGGACATGAGTCTGCTGAGTCTGTGCTGGCACAATAAAATGTTGCTTCCTGCTAAACTGCCTCAGTGTCCCATATCTCAGCTTGAGATTCTTGCAACATTGGTACTTACAGAACTGTATCTCTTTCTAAAAAAAGTCTTCTTTTTTGAGAAGTTTCGTAAGGGAGCAAAGATATGTGCATCCATTGCATTTCACTAAAAGCCATGACACCATGCTCTGTATGAACCGAGCCACAGTCTATTGTAAGTGGTCCAATAGGCAGGAGGACCTTCCTATGCACTGAAGCACCTTGTTGTCTTTTTTTTTTTTTTTTTCATTTTTCTTTTATTATTCATATGTGCATACAAGGCTTGGTTTATTTCTCCCCCCTGCCCCCACCCCCTCCCTTACCACCCACTCCACCCCCTCCCGCTCCCCCCCTCAATACCCAGCAGAAACTATTTTGCCCTTATCTCTAATTTTGTTGTAGAGAGAGTATAAGCAGTAATAGGAAGGAACAAGGGGTTTTGCTGGTTGAGATAAGGATAGCTATACAGGGAGTTGACTCACATTGATTTCCTGTGCGTGGGTGTTACCTTCTAGGTTAATTCTTTTTAATCTAACCTTTTCTCTAGTTCCTGGTCTCCTTTTCCTATTGGCCTCAGTTGCTTTAAGGTATCTGCTTTAGTTTCTCTGCATTAAGGGCAACAAATGCTAGCTAGTTTTTTAGGTGTCTTACCTTGCTCTCTCCTCTCCTTCCTTTCTCCTCCCTGCCCTTCTTTTCTTTACTATAAGAGATTCAGTACCTGTGATGTATGTATAACTTCTATACTCACAGTTTTTCTTATATCCTCTACCTTGTACAAAAAAGGATGTGGGGAAAGGTAGACAATTGGGAATGTATTGTGAGTCTGGGTAAAAGTGATAAAAGACCAGGAAAGCCTGCCTGAGTTTATTAAATGAAGTGACAAGAAGTAGAAAATCAACTGACAAATGAGAACCAGACTGACTACCTAGGTACTTATCATTATACTATCCATAGACTCTTAAAAAAATCTACCTTTTCTTTGTGTCTTTTACAGTTGAACTTATTGGCACAGCCTGTTTTAATTTCTATACTCATGTTCATCTTCGCTAGCTACACTTGGTGTTTTTGTTCTCATGCCAGTCCTTTTTGTAACTTTTCATGGCCTGTCTTTCATTATCTAGAAGGTACAAGTTCTGGAAGTGATTTCTACAGAAGGACCTGCATGGACTCCCAGACAGTGATGCTCTACTTTCCGAATATAAGACAAGACTCAAGCCTCTGGGATTATTCTAGACCTTGGGTATGGGGTTAGATGACCATACCTAATTTTTCTGGAGAAAACAATATTTTTATTTTAAACCCACAGTTGATTATATGGTATGTAATGGAATGAAAAAGATGCAAACTTGCAGACATATTTCACATCTACTAAGCTCCAAGATCTGAGACAAGTCTTACCTGTATCTGCCTTAGGGATAGGTTGATGAAAAAAAAATACAAGGCATATCTACTTGATGAATGGCTAAAACCAGAACTAGAAATTAGGATTACTTTGCAAATTTATGGTAAGAAACAGAAAAAATTCTCTACATAGTACAGGACCTAGTATGGAGAGACCCAACATAATATAGTAAACTACTAATTCTTAATTTTAAATGGTCTTCAAAAGAGAAAAGAAAAAAAAATCAGTGTGGAGAAGAGCTGATTATGTAAGGAAAACTAGAACACAGTAAGCTAAAGGTGATGGGAAAGTTGGATGAACTTCACCATTGGCTTTTTACTGATGACCCCCTTGAGAATGAAGACAACCTGAGATGGAGTTAGTTACCAAATGCTTCATACATACTTTTAAGAATGATATTGAACTCTTTCAATCTTCTAGATATTTCTGAATGCTTTTCTTCTGCTACCTGAAGCTGTGGAAGACTATCAACTAGTTCCTCTTCTTTTTCTTGGCTAATTTTTATTTCTTGAATAATTAAATCCTTTAAAGAAAATAAAGCCAATTGAGAAGTATGATTTTGGAAAGTTTATACAACAACATAGAATAAAATGTCAGTTCTTCCAAAAGAAGAACTTTCCTATCCCAATGTGCAGAGGATATCTGGGACACACTGGGTGTTTAATAAATATTTATTATCTGACTCAATAACTCTCAGGCATTCTGTAAAGTAAGTCAATTAGATTCAATTGCCTTTCTGTTCTCTGTCTCTACTGATATATTTCTATTGCTACCATACATAAAACAAAAATATATTTGAGAAAAATTCCTTTGGTTGATTATATTTAATGAGAAAAGGGCATCAAAACAGGATATACCAGTTCTAAGAGATGTGCATGTAAGTAATAGTGGGAATGGGGTAGAAATAAGTGGATATAGTATTAAAATAAATAGGTAGAACTACCTGAAGCAAAACACAAAGATGCTTGTTTACTTACTCAAACTCACATTTTATTTAGCTTCAAATGGAATAATTGTAGGACATCTTTTAGAAAATTAGGTTAGATTTAAAATGGTGATTAAAACAGAAAGTGCCGACTGACATGCAATATCCATTCTTTCTTCCTTTAATATTAGTACTCCACACGTGAGCTAAGCGGTGAGCTGCCAGCTGGAGTGTGGTTTCTCGACTTCCCTTGCACACGGGTGTGAATAATGAGCTGTGAGTAGAAGTCATGGGTACCACTTCTGGACCCTGCCTCTGCAACAGAAAAGACCCTGTCCTCTCTTGGCCCTTTCCTTCTTCCCCTGGCTAGAATAGGATGAAGGAAGCCCATGTTGACCCCAACATTAGCTTCATGCTGAGGTTGCCAGAGCCCTCCAACTAGCTTGGACCTCTAACTTTTGGCCTGTACCAGGATGAAAAACAAGTGTCTTTCTTGTTGTAATTAAAAGCACACCAAGTACTCCTCCTCTACCCATCAAGGCCCAATTGCCATAAGGATCCTATTTAATATTGTACTCATGCTTATCCAAGAAAATTAGCCAAGTTTAGTAAAATAGAAGTACTAGACTTTGCAGGTGAAAATGTTGGCAGATGGCAAAAGCACAAGAAAATCAACTGTAAAACCACTACACTCAGGCCTCCAGCCTGCACCTGGCTTCCCAGCTTGTGTTTCACTTCACGGGTGTGTCCATCCAAGCTTAATTCACACAAGATATGGACTGATGGCAGCCTGTGCACTATATTTAGCAATAATCACCATCAATAACTCCAGACATACCGTATTCCTATTTCTGCCTTACTCATGACTCTATGCGAATTGCCCTCCCCCCATTGATTTACCATTAAGTATGGTGTCAACTCTGTCAGCATTATCATCAAAATATATCTGACAGGGCTGAGGTGTAGCTCAGTGGTGGAGCTTATGCTTAGCATATGTGAGGCCCTGGGTTCTATCCCCAGTTGTTAACTGCTTCTTAACACCTGTTCAGTTAACTTCCTGGTCCCAGCTACCTTTGCTTCTCACTTGGGTTATTGATATAGCTTCCCAGTAGGTTTCTTGCATCCATCTTTGCTTTCTTAATTTATACTCAACACAGAAGCTAAAGTGATTCTATTTAGATATTAAAATTGAAGAGTCAGATCACTTTAGCCCTTCACTCAAAACCCTCCAAAGGTTTCCCAGCCCAGGCAAAGGACAAAGTCAATTACGGTGGCCTATAAGGGTGTGACAGATATGGGGATACTCCACTTGGATCTCCACTCCAGGAAGGACTCCCTGCCCTGTAGTGAGGAGTGTGGTTAGCTGACACCTCCAGTGGTTTTCTCTTTCAGAGTTCACCTTAGATGGACAACATCTTGCTAGTCCAGGGGTGGCCCCCACTCAATGACTGAGCAAGGAGATGGTATAGGATATAACCATTTCTGTCCAAGGGAAGACGCTTCTAATAGGCAATCCTCAATCCAGAGCCTCCCTAGAGAGAGTCTGTCAGGTGAGATATAATGGCTTGATGGCTTCCCCTGTCCAATCCTTTCACAGATAACACTCCTGACAAACCACTGGACTCCAGGTACTACCTAAGCACTTGCTTTCCAAGGTGACACTTGCTTTCCAAGGTGGCACTTCCCTCAGTAGCACTGCCCCTTGAGCTCAGACAAGGCAGTCCTGCCTCAGGACCTCTGCGCTTCACTTACTCTCTGTCCAGAGCCATCTCCCGCCAACAGCGTCACAGCACACTTCCTTGTATGCCTACATCATTTGCCATGCCACTTAGATCGTAACACAGACACACCCTCCCCTACTTTCCTGCTTGATTTATCAGCATTCAACTCATGACATGTTCTAAATATTTCAAGCTTCCCCTTGCTAGAATTTAAGCTCCAGAAGGCCAGAATTTTTGTTTGCTTTTGAGCATCCACAAGAATGCCAGGCACCCCGACATGCTGCGACCAATGGAAGAATGTCTTCCATCCCGTCCGTCCTGCCACTTCCCTCTTCTCTTTCTTTTACTTTATAATAATTTGAGCAGTGTTTTTTGTTTGTTTTTTTGGGGGGCAATACTGGAGCTTGAACTCAGGGCCTTGTGCTTGCTAGGCAGGTACTCTATCACTTGAGCCACTCCAGCAGTCTCTTTTGTGTTTGTTATTTTTCCAAATAGGGTCTTGTTTTTTGCCTGAGATCAGCCTGGACCATCCTCCTCCTCTATTTTTTTTTTTTATAGCCAGCAACTTTTTTTAATGTTACATATACTATTCTCAAGGCACATCTGATGATATATTTAACACAGTAGGTGTCAAAGTATGTTTAACATGTGATTTCTTCAGGACACCTCCTCCTCTTTATAACTCTTGCATCGCAGGGATGACAGGTGCACACCACCACACCCAGTTTTATTGCTTGAGATGGGTCTTGCATACTTTTTGCTCAGGCTGGCCCTGAACTGCTATTCTCTGATCTCTACCTCTCAAGTAGCTGAATGATAGGTTGCACCACCACACCCAACTGAGGAGTGCTTTCTTTTTCTTGTTTCTTCCTTGAGTTGTGCCAGTTTCCATTTTACCTGATCCTGTTTTCTGGTCATTACCTTCTGACATCTCTTCCCTGAGTTCTTTACACCTGTATTAAATTATGTTAAAAATACACAGTGGAATGTTTGATCACATTTTTCATCTGTTTCATTACACCATTTTTCTCAACTGTTCTTCATTGGACAGTTTTGTTCTCCTTTTCACTCGTTTTTGTTTTTTTTTTTTCTCATTTTATTTTTATTTGGAAGACCTGTCTGCTTCTTTTTTGTTATTCACATTAGAAATAAAACTGGCTATTTTTGAGTAAGTTATCTGAAAGCGTTTTCAAATAATGTGGTAGGATGGAGTGAGTAGGAGGAGTGGACTTGGACCAAGGGAAGATTCTAAACTTTGAAATTTAAGAGTTTTCTACTTTCTTGTCACAGCAAGGGACTGTTTCCTTCAAAAAAAAGCTCCTCTTGGGTGCAGCCAAGACCCCTTCTTCCTATTCAAACTTCATCAAGTTCAGGAAGGTTGCATACAGGAACTCATCTTGATCTGACTGGTAGTCATCTTGAGTTGTAATTACTGTAATTGACCTGAGTAAACCTAGTCAGCTTTCAATGTATACATTGTGGTTTGAATATGATGTGCCCTCACAGGCTCAGATGCTGAAGACTTGGTCCCCAGCTAGTGGTACTATTTTGGAAGGTGATGGAAACTTCAGGAGATAGAGCCTAGCTGAAGGAAATAAGTGACTGAGAGTGGAAGGGTTGCCTTTGAAGGGTGTCTTGTTCCTGGCCCTTCCTGTCTATCTCTCTCTCTGCTTCCTGCTGGCATGAGGTAAGCAAATTTGTTCTACCACATGCTCTTGCTGCCATGATGCCTCACCAAAGGCCCACTAAATGCTGGCCATGGACTGAAGCCTCTGAAACTGTGAGCCAAGAATAAATCTTTCTTCCTTTGAATTTGTTCTCCCAGGTATTTGTCACAGTGATAAAAAAGGTAAGTATACACCCAGCATTCTGTAAGTAAACAAAACCAGACTAATGGGGTCCTGGGCTGTCAGTGCCAGGAACATGCCTGATAGCTTTTATAGTAGCTTGAGATAAACCAAGTACATTCCTGCTTGAATGAAAGTCATGTTTGTCTTGCCAAGTTCATTTTCCCCTCCTTCTGACCTAAACCATGGGGATCCACTGGTTTGCTGCCACCCAAGACCAGATTTCTGTTAGTCTTGGATCTGTCCACTTCTCTCTTCAGTCTCTGGCAACTTGGAGCTGGTTTGCACACACTGGGACTGGGTTTTCCCAGAACACTTCTGCCACTGTCTTTGTCCTCAGCTGCTCTACCAATGGCTGCCTCCAAGGAACATGCCCTTACCTTTCAAGATATTATCATCATCTTAAAAAGGTGTATTTTTGTTATTGTTGTGTTCCATAGACTTTAACCTTTGTTTGGGCCCCTGGATAATTTCAGTGCCTGTTGTCTTCATCATCCTCAGCATCCATTCCCTATTTCAACCTGGTTGGCCTTTGGAAGTTCCCAAATCAGTATGATACCTTTTTTTAAAGGAGGATTTATTAGTCCTCTTTCTCCCATTAGTCTCCCCAACTTTCCCGTGCTATACCCACCTGCACAGTTCCACCTGTCCCCAAGGCTGTTGCCAATAGTTCTGCATAATTTGAGGCATGATTTTTTTTTACTGAAAAAATATTTGTTTTCACTGTATTTCGTTTTCACTCTATTTCTTTTTCAGAGAAGGAAGAAGAAAATTTCAGAATGAAACCATAGCCTGGTTCTTAGTGGAAGAATTATTTTACATTTAATTGGTTAGAATAACATGCATTATCATTTTCTCTCCCCCTCATAGTCAACCAAAATTATACTTAGATATAAAATATCAATTACCTCATACTTGGTTAACTCTGAATTAACTTTTTTTCTTTGACAACAAATTTCTCCTTTTCTTCTTTCAATTCTACTGCAATTTTTTCAATCTGTGCCACAAATTCGTTGATCTCCTTTTCTCTAAGAGTGGTCTAAATAGAGAAAAATGAGATTTATCATTTTTCTTATAGTGGTCAGCCTTATACTGTCCAACAGTCAGGTAACCTGAAACCTCCCTCCATAAGACTTGCCTATGATTTCTCACTAACCACTGACAAGGATTTCTTTTTCCCCTCCAGAGATGAAAGGCTTCACCACGCAGTATCCCAGTGTCTGTAAGTGACATGAGGAATGGAGAGAAGAGGGATGGTAGGTGGCAGAGGGTAAATATAGGAGTAATAAATGATGCTTACTCTCATATTTTTAAAGATAGCTCCCCTAAAGACTAATCTCAAATAAGTTTCTGGTTACATGCTTCAAAAACATATTCTAGGGAGAACTGCTATTTAATTTGCTAAATATCTCTAGTTAATATATAGAAAATGGTTACATTTCTGAGAAAGGAAAATAATTCACTATAACCATGAAGTCGCAGAAGAAAAATATCTTTTAATAAGATAAGGTTTACTTAAATACTGAAGGAGAGCCACTGATTTGCAAGGTAGGAAACTGTAGTACTTCTAAATACCTCTGGCTCCCTTACCTCTTGAAATAGTTCAATTCGTTTCTGTTCTGCATTCTCAATTTTATTAATAAGTTCTTTATTTCAGTCTTTATCTGAGCTTTCCAACGTGCATGCTTTTTTTTTGCACAAGCGATTTTCCACTGAGTTATAGCACTAGAGTTTAGAAAAAAAGGAGTTACCATTAAATTGGCATGGTACTTTGCCAAAAAGATGAAGCAATGTGAAGCAAAATGAGTCCTACTATGATTTTACAAAATTGTTTGGACCATTAGTGATACAGACTCTACTTAACAACTGAACTAATAAGATGAAACATTTACATCCTCAATGCTATCTCTGCAAATTGCTTCCCATGTTCAAAAGGACAGTGACAAACCTCACCGGGCAGTTCACCTCCTGTAGGTGGAGGATGGAAATGGTGAAGGCTCAGTGGCAGATGAAGAAAGAGGCTCAGGCAGAAATAGTAATGGAATTATCTAAATTTGGTTCTCATGTTTTTCTCTCCACCACAATATAAAGAAGCTATATATTTGGTGAATGGTAAAATGTGCAATTGGAGCTTATAGAAAATAACATTAATAATAGCGTAAGCAATACTAGTAAAATACAGCAAAGTATTTGCAAGTGCTTTCTAGGTGCTTTCTTGATGTAACTATTTTTACATGAATCATATCTTTGACATTCACAACAAACTTATAAGATGGGTACCACTACCAGTCCCTACTTCATAGGAGCAGAAGCCAAGAGAAGAGATTAAATAACTGAGCCATGGTTACAGAACTAGTGGGGCAGAGCAACTAAAGTGATCTGTGTGCACAGCCTGTGGTCTTAACCTTTCTTCTCTATTTCCCACTGCCATATCACCCCAATTACTGGTTCACACAGAAGCTTGGATCAGCAACAGACACTGAAAAGGTTAACAACTTTACTCTTTGGTGATTTCACTTGACTGAAATGGAAAATGTTCTGTTTAATATCAACCCCCCCACCAAAAAAAACCCCACCAAGCTAATAAATACACCTACATCCAAGAGAATTCACACAATTTAGTGTAGGAAAACCATTCCCTTAGGCTCAAAATAACACCCTGCTCATAAAATGCATGATATATATATAGAGATACATATCTTTACCATCTCTGACTTTCTCTTTCCAAGTTATCACTCAGAATTTTTATTTGTTTTCGATATACTTCCAAGGTTCCTCTAAAAACAAGAAAAATATATTAGATTTTGGATTTGTGGGAGTTGTCTGAATATACAAGAGACTCTTCATGTATTTCTTTTTTTCCTTCTTTTTCTTTTCTTTTTAAAATTTGAACTTAGGGCCTCCTGCTTGCTAGGCAGGGACTCCACCACGCAGGCCATGCCCTCCCCCCTGCAACCCTTTTTTGATTTAGTTATTTTTCAGACAGTGTCTTGCTTTTTTTTTGCCCAGGGCTGGCCTCAGACTGAGCTCTTCCTACCTATACCTCCTTCACAGCTGGGATTACAGGTTTTCAGGGCCTCAGGATTACTAGGTAAATGCTTTGCCACTTGAGCCATGCCCCCAGCCTTCTTCATGAATTTCTTTTGCTCAATAAAGCTACAGTCTAATTGGAAGATAAAACAAATTTTGTGAGATAGCAGACTTACAGAAGGACAATAATAATTCTGTAGCAGTGCAAAATACTCCTCCAAGCCTTCAGGTGGATACCCAAGGATGGAAAGAAACTCTGGGGAGCACCTGAGGAAGGGTCCCAGGAGGTTAGTGGCTAGTGGGAGGTGTGTGAATCACCAGAGTGGAGGAAAGGATGCATTCATTTGCAAAGACACAGAGGAAAGGAGCAGAAAGCCAGGACTCTGCCATGACATAAGGCGGCTTGCTGCATACAGAGGCTGCAAAGGAAGGAATAACCCTGTGCCACAGGAGCAGTTAAGGTCAGTAATTGTTGAGGAACTCTGGATCTACACTGAGATTTGATTTGATACAATATAGAGTTCAGAAGGCTAAGATAGATTGCTGAACTAGGGGAAAGTAATGGTTAAGGATGGAAGGTTTTCCTGGGATAAGATAGGAAATAGAAGGATTTTAATACAAGGAACAGAAGCCTTTATTTTATTTTCTTTCCCCCCATTAACTGTTTCATACACAGAATAGATTGAAAACCACATAAGAAAATGTTACTTTATATCTTTAGAAGGATAGAAATACTCATAAATGAAATTTATATGAACTGCTGCTACATACATTTTTAAAGGCTAGAAATATTCATAAATGAAACTACAAAATGCCATTTCTTTGCCCATTTGAAATCTTAGTGTGGGCTCTCAACTTCTTGCCAATGTAAGATTCATATCCTCCCCCTGATTTCAGGGGTTCTTCACAATTTGCCTGGTTCTTATTGAGTCTGTTTATTTATTTACTTAATATGTACCTCAAAGAATCGGAACCAGTTTAAAGCAAAGCAAAAATAATATAACAGACCTAAATGGATAACAATACTGGGCCACACATTTGCATCTGAGCTTCCTGGTGACCATAGCAATGATGACACAATAATTGATTATAAAATTTGTGCTAATTATGAGAAAAATAAAACCTGATTGACTCCAATTCAATTTCCCTGTTCTTTCACAGGGAGAAGTTCATAGTTTCCTTTCTGAAGCTGACCTAATGAAACCTAGAAGTTTAAATATGTTATTTCACTGTATGGAGGCAACAGGTCAAAGAGTATTTACCGCTCGCTACATTCCAGATTTCTCCTGGTACATGTAAAATTTTCATCACCATCTAGCTTGGTTCTATAAGCTGGCCTCTTCACCATCCTATATCCAAATCAGATATCTTCCTCTGTGTGGTGATATGATTCCCTCATTTTCATGAGCAAAAAGAAAAATCTGACATGCATTTTAAGGGTATAGTCCAGGTTTTAAATCCTTATATACCAAAGAGACTCCTTGATTTTACCAGCTGTCTCTGGTTGTTCTTTTATAACTTACACTGTATTTTCACATTCATGTAGGGTTTGTTAATTGTTCAATGTGTATTAGTCTTGCTTATCTGCCCAAATAAGCCACAAGTTGCATTATGCCTAGTGTTGATGAGAGAGTACAGTAACAGAACGGTTATGTAACATGTTAGGACAATAATTTAAACAATGAAACTCATGCCTCCCCATTTCTAATACTTCAGCTTTTAGGGTTTATTTAAATTTTTTTAGAACTTTATTATAAAGACATAATCACATTGGTGGGCAAAGTTAGGTTAAAGAATGTGAACGTCAGTGGGGTGCCAGTGACTCATGCCTGTAATCCTAGCTACTTGCAAGGATTATGGTTCAAGGCCAGCCTGGGCAAATAATTCGAGAGACCCAACCTCCAAAATCACCAGACCAAAATGGACTGGAGGTGTGGCCCAAGCAGTAAAGTCCCTCCTTTTACAACTGCAAAGCCCTCAGTTTGAACCCTAGTCCCACCAAAAAAAAAAAAAAAAAAGAAAAAAAAGAATATGAACCTCAAAAATGGTTTGTAAGATAGGAAGCAGAGTAAAATGTTGATCAGTAGAATGCTGGTTAATTAACATACAGTATAACCTGTAAAAAGAAGTCTCATATGGTGACCTTTTTGTCTTTCTCTTGAATTAGTTTCAAACTCAACAGATACAGTGCCAAGAAGTCCTATATACCTCCACCAAGTGCCCCAAAGGGTATCATTTTGTCTATGTGTTTTATCATTCTTGTGGATGTGATTTTAAGTGGGAAAATAAAATTACAGAAAAGTAGAATCTGATTTTATATATCTACATATATAGTTGTCTACATATACAGTTGTGTATACACATACACACGTGCACACACATTTGAAAGTATGCATGACAAACTTAGCAGTGATTACCTCTGTGGAAAGATGGAGAGGTTAGGGTAACTTAGACACTACTTTAACCAGAAAAAGTTAAAAATAAAAGTTAAAGTGTCTTGGAATGGAAGCAATGACAGCATGGGGGTCAGTGCTGTGATAATGTTCTGACACATTCTTGTCACTGGTTTGTGTCCAAAGCTTTTATACAATTCAGAACCTGTCTACCTCTTCAATGAAAGATGTAATGATAATGACTTTTCTGGACTGTGAAACGAAGAAAGCTAATTATACACTGCCTTTTTCCTGTAATCTGTTACATACTGATGTAGACTCACAGTTACTATTTGTTAAAATACACATGCAGAGAAAAGATTAAAAATTTCAAAGGCACAAAACATACCAAAACTGAGTGTGGTGGTGCACTCCTGTAATCCCAGCTTTTTGGGAGGCTATGTACATAGAAGGACATAGGTCTGAGGCAATCCTTGAGCAAAAAAATGTGAGACCCTATTAAAAAAATAATTAAAGCAAAAAAAGGGCTGAGGGTGTGGCTCAAGTGGTAGAGTGCCTGCCTAGCAAGCCTGAGGCCCTGAGTTCAAATGCCAGTACTTCAAAAACAAAAACAAAAACATAACATACCGATGAAGTTCCTGGAGTGTAATGAGTCCTTCTTCCATATTTTTGATGTCTACTTTTCTTTGTGATAGGAGGTTTTCTTTCTGAGTAATATATTCTATTTGTTTCTGGTTTCTACCATAAAAAAAGAACAAAACCCACGATTTAATGAAGGTTGAAATGATCTTTTTTTCTCCTTCTCAGTGCTGGAGATCAAACCCAGAGACTTGTGCATTATAGGAGGAAATAATAATTTTTAATTTCCCAGGGTGAGAAAACAAGCAAACAAAAATAATTTAAAAGGTAGTTTGGAAAGATCAGGTCATAAGTTATCTCTAGATAAACTAGTAAAAAACAGAAGCTTTTTTTTTGCTAGCAGTGTCTAACTCTCGACTTACATAGGATTTTCATAAAATTTATGAAAATTTCCAAACAACTGAAAAAAACATTGATTGCAACAATAACCACAAGTTAGCAAGAACAGTTGTATACTACTTCATCTCTCTGAGTAGGTATGTCTCTTGTGACACATTCATCAGTTCCATCTTGTTCTAATTGATCAACTCTGGGCATTGGCTCTATCTCTTAACAGCAGTGTGATCTTGGACAAGAAACTGCAGGTAGACAAATCTCAGGTTCACCTTGACCCATAAAATGGGATTATCATATCTACTTTATCAAATGGAAGGTTTAAATAGCAGCTTGACCCAGTTCACAGACCAATGAGACTTTTTAAAAAGAAGGTTATATTTTGTCTCGACTTTCAGGAGAAGATGGTGAGGCTCAGAAAAATTCATGGTTTTGTTCAAATGCCCAGACATGGATAGGAGTCTGCTTGTAACAGACAGTATTATATCTAGTGACTCACCTTCAAAACTGCTATGGAATGAACTGTGTCCTCCTTCTCCTAACCCCCAATGTGGTAGAGAGATATGAGTAACTTTTACTTTCTATATTTGAGTTTAAAAAATCATTTGTAGATAGTACTTTTCAATCATAAAAAAGAAAAATTAAAGTGATATAGACTGGTAGAAAGGAACATCATAGGAGGTCACTGTTTTGATAATGATTGGCACATGATAAACATGGGCTTTGGGGAAGCAATCTAGTGTGGAGAAATTTATGGGGGGGCCTCATGATGGCATTAATGTCCTCATAGAAGAGATATAAGAAATCTCTCTCTCTCTCTCTCCCAGGCCACGTGAAGACTCAGAGAACAGAGGGGAGAAGCACCTGTCCCAAGCCAGGAGGAGGGCTCTCACTAGAACCCAACTTTGGCATCATTATCTCAGGATCTCAGCCTGAGGAAATAACCTTCTGTTGGCAAGCTAGCCAGCTGATGCATTTTGTTATGGCAGCCCGAGCTGACTTAAGACAAAAAGCCCATGATGATAGCAGGTGTTTTAGTGTTATAATTATTTGTCATCAGCACATCTTGATTCTGACTGCTAACTTAGTAAGAGGCAGGGGAAGGTTTTTGCTTGAAGAATTCTAACAGCATCATTTTTAGAATTCTGATCAATTGTATGAGATGCCATGATTGTAACAATTCTCTGTAGCTTAAATGCTGTGGCAAGGAGCATAGGTAAGTGGGCCCGGCCACTGCAATTAAGTTTCCATGAGCTGTAACTTTGAGTGGACTATTATTTACACAACTTCATGCTTGCAAGATGTTAGTCTGCAATAGCATGAAGTAGACATTGGTAATACACACTATCTGCATGTCAGTGTATGAGGTCCTGGTACACAGGACCGAAGAAGACAGGGTGACTACTCTGATTTCTTTGTAGTCCCATAGTCCAGTAGCTGCAATCAACTGCAGTGATTGAAGAAAAGGAATGGCATCAGAGGAACACTTTAGAAGGGTCATTCTGGAGGAAGGGAGGTAGACAAGCTGGGATGGTAAAATGGAAGGTGCAAAAGAACTTTTGAGTAGTAAGTCCAAACAGAGGCTGGTGGGGTGAAAAGAATGGAGTTGGAAAGGAGTAGAGATCGTTGGGAGGTAGAATTAACAAGCCTTGGGGATTGAATGGAGTTGAGAAGGTAGTGAAGGATAAGCAATTCCTTGAATAATTTCCCAGTGTCTGTGTCAATAACTGTGGAGAGCAGATTAAAGCCTATGAGAACTGGACACAAGCAAGGCAGATGCGGCTCACCTGCTTTTCTGAGATTGGCACAGAAACAGAAGCAGAACAGCTGTTTCTTCTAAGTTGTTTGTGTTCAGAGAAGCAGGCAATTTTTTTTTTAAAGCAGGAACGCAAATGCACGTTTCTCCTGTTACAATGTCACACCCTCCCCAAGAGCCACTGCTCCACCCTGTTTTCTATGGTTTATAAGACCCCTGAAGGAGGAAGAGGGGCTTTTTGCCTTGGGACATTTTGCTTTGGAGGGTTTTTTTGGGCTTTGGCTTGGGAGGGTTTTTTGGACTTTGGCTTGGTTCTTTTGCTGTGGGCTTTTTGGTGTGGGAAGCTTTTGGAAGGGAAAAGAATTACTGCAGGGAAAAGAATTGCTAAAGAGAAAAGAATTACTGAAGGGAAAAGAATGGCTAAAGAGGGGTTGATAGAAAGTCTGCACCAAGAACTTTAACATAGGCCTTAGAAAAGAAAGCCAAAGAAAGAACTTTAACATAGGCTTTAGAAGCTAAAGAAAAGCCAAAGAGAACATGGGACAGTGCAAGATAGAGGACCAAGACTTTGCAAGTCTGAGCACTGAGGCTTTAAGAAAGCTAAAGAGAGAATGCTAAAGAAAAGCTGCAAGCCTGGGGGCAAAAGGCTTTAGCAATTAAGCTAAAGATAAACTAAGAGAAAACGTGGGACAGTGCGTGGGACAGTGCGAGTTTAAGGAAAGAGGTTTTAAGCAAGGTTTTAAAGAGGACTTTAGAAGCAAGGTTTTAAAGAGCTGCCCTTGGAGTAATAAAGATAGAGAAAAGAAGCAATGAGAGTTGGGCGTCTCCACCCGAGTGCCCAATGCACCTAACCCCACTTTCTGTCTGTCTTTCTATCCTATGTCTTTTCTGAATCTCCAGCCTCCCCCAGTTAAGCCCAGTTAGGTTCGGTAATACCCAGGAGCAAGAGAAAAAGCTCGTTCTAACAAGGCAGGGAGCAAGAAAACAGCGCCCCTCCACATAACCAAACCCTTCTCTGAGAAATGGACTATAGATGATGACACAGCTTTGATGAAGGCAGGTCTCAGAGTTTCCCTGGACAGTCTCCTGGGGTAAAAGCCTATTTTTCCAAGAATCTGGCTTATAAGGAAATATGGTATATATTTTTATGGATTTGATCTGATCCAGATAAAGAAAGCATGACTTAGCACTCTAGAGGCAGATTAGAAGTCTGTTTGTTTATTACTGGACAAAGAATATTTCATTGTTGTTAACATATTTTAAAACTGGGATGAGGTAGTCATCTTTATGTGACCACTAGGTGGAGAGTCACCACTTGGATAGCAGGGCAAGCAACCCATAACTGAGGCATGTCAACTCACAGCAGGATCAGAGGTAGATACATACTCAGTAGAGATCTTCTGTTGTTGCATAAAAACATTTTCCTCTTCATTTAAGATAATCTTGTATTGTCTGATAATTGTATTCAGTTTCTCTCGTAGTTCTTTGTTCTCGAACTGAAGTTTGAATAGATTTTCAGCCATCTAGAGGAAACACAAAGGAATCTTGATTCATGGTTCCCTGGAGTGCATCATCATCAGATGGACAACTCCTGGAGCACTGAATATTTTGCTTAGCACACATGGGTATGTCACAAATGTCAAATGATTTAATTCTGCTGCAAAAAAATATGCAATTATACATTTTGGAGCCTCTTCTGTAAGTTTTACGAAAAGTATAGAAAGATACTAAGGATGTAAAACCACAGAGCGATAATCTGTGTTGAACCAGAAAATGGCAGCAGAAAACTTGATGATTCAGAAACATCTGTGTGTTCTTTCCCAGAATATAGACTGTGCTAGGGAAAAAGAAAATTAACATCCACAGAAGTTCTTGCTCACGGCCTCTTTGACTAGATACTACGCTTGCTTCTTGTGAAGCACAGTAAGCCCTCTATACCTGTGGGTTCTGCATCTGTGGAGTCAAGCCAACTGCAAATGAAAAATATTTGAAAAAAATTCCAGAAGGTTCCCAAAAACAAAACTTGAATTTGCCATGCACTGAGTACCAGGTAGATAGAATCTGCAGGAATGAAGTGATGTGTAAGCATTACATAAAGTACAATGAATAATCTAGATACAATTTAAACCATGTGGGAGGATGTGCAAAGGACATGCACAAGTACTGGGACATTTTTCTGTACAGGACTTGAGTGTCTTCAGATTCTGGTACTGACAAAACTGTCTTGTAACCAATCCCTGCAGTTGCCAAAGAATGACTATGTTTCTATGTTAGGACAACAAATAGCAGCCATCCATATTCTGCACAAGGTAAGAATTTTGTGCTTGGATGTCTCTGTTGAAATGCTTCAAGAGGAATAAGGGAGTTAGGCTTAGTAGGAATGGTGAGTAGTTCAAAATAACCTTGTGGCTGAATACCACTAAAATAACTGCATGGACACGAACAATCTTCTTACAAGTGTTGAAGTGTTGGCAAGATAATGAGGAATAAGAAAGTCTAACTCTAAGAGAAAGAAAGCAAGAAGCCAGAGTGACAGTGGACACTCAGCCCTCCTGCCTTGAAGACGTTTGCCAATATGGAGGACGACACTTGGAAACTGAGATTTGGCTTTCTTACATGGCCAGAGGGTTCATCCAGATGTCAATCCTGAATGAAGATCCTACCACTGAAAGTCTCAGATCCCAAAAAGCTTCACCAGGAAAACATATGGGAAATGGAGCTGGTTTGGAATTGGTAATATCCCAAATGTCCCACAGAAAGGGAACACAGATCTACTGCCAAAAAAAACACCATTGTCTTAGGCCTCAAATAATTTTTATAAACATTTTGTAAAGAACAATGTCCAGCATACAGGTTCTTACCAGGAACAGATGGAAATAAGGCAGCAGGAACAAAACCTGGCAGAAACAGGGCTAGTGATGTAACTCAGTGGTAGAGCACTTGCCAAGCCTGTATAAGGCTGTTTTTGACTGTTAGCTGTGGAAAAAAATTGGCAGAACCAACGGACTAAAGAAACAGACTATAGACTCACAAAGACACCAGATGTTGGAATTATCAAACACTGAACTATTGAACTACTATACTTTTTGTAAAAGAATCAACAACCCAATGAATAAATGGGCAAATGAACTGAACGGATAATTCTCAAAAGAAGAAATGCAAATGTCCACTAAATATATGAAGAAATGCTCAACATCCCTGGCCATAAAGGAAGGACATGCTAATCAAATGACATTGAGATTTTGCCTCACTCCAGTCAGAATGGCTATCACCAATAACATAAACAATGACAAATGCTGGTAAGGATGTGGGGAAAAAGGAGCCCTTATCCATTGCTGGTGGGAATTTCAATTAGTGCAATCACTATGGAAAGCAGTATGGATGTTTCTCAAAAAAACAAAAACAGGTCTACCATACAATCCAGCCACACCTGTCCTGAGCATATACCCAAAGGAATGTAAGCCTGCTAGCATGCAATAGAGCCACATGCACACCCATGCTTATTGCCACACTGTTCACAATAGCCAAGCTTTGGAAACAGCCCAGATGCCCTACAACTGATGAACAGAGTAAGAAAATGTGTTACATATGCACAATGGAGAATTATTCAGTCATAAAGAAGAATGGAATTATGTTGTTTGGAGATACATGGACAGAAATGGGGATCATCATGGGAAGTGAAGTAAACCAGGCTCAAAGGAAAAAGGTCACATGTTTTCTTTCCTATGTGGAAGCTAGACCTAAAAGATTAATGCATACATAAACATATATATGATCATATATATATATATATATATATATATATATATATAAAGAGATCATATATAGAGAGAGATCGTATATATATAGAGAGATCGTATATATATAGAGAGATCGTATATATAGAGAGAGATTGTATATATATGCATATATATAAAGAGAGAGAGAGAATATTATTAGTAGATCTGTCTGAAGGGACTACAGGGAGGCAGGATAGGAAAAGAGTGTGACAGAGAGTGAACAATATTGAAATAGTTTTCATCTGTGTCTGAAGATAGTATAATGGAATGCACCGTAAGCTGTTGAATAATAGGGGAGCAGAGCAATAAAGAGTAAGTAATAGAGGGTGTTAATCTGATTAAAGACAATATATGCATGTCTGAAATACCAAGACAAAACCCCTTTAACAATCAATATACACTCACAATATGAAGGACAGGAAGGTAAAATAGGTCCTGTCTGGGTACCAGTGGGAGTGGGGTGGGCTCAAAGAAAGGGCTAATGAGGGTGAATACGGTGGATGTATTTTGTATTTGTGTATGAAAACAAAAGAATGAAACCTGTTGAAATTGTTCTAAGAAGGGAGGGAGAGGAATAAGGGAGAATGGTGAAGGAGGTGACTCTAATTAATATACCCTGATATGGAAGCACATATGTAAATGTAAGAATGTATCCCCACCCCAAGCAACTATCATATGCTAATAAATAAATTTTTAAAAACTTAAAAAAGAAATATTAGACATACTTGAAAATTATGGCTGGAAGTTAGAAACACCAGTGTGAGATGGTAGATTTTAAAAGGTACCAATTGGAAAATACAATAATCAAAATTAAGAACTCAAATAAAACTAGGTGCAGTGGTGGTTCACATCTATAATTCCAGCTACTTGGGAGATGCAGATAGGAAGATCAGAGTTCAAGGTTAGTCTAGGCAAAAAAAGAAAAATAATTAGTGAGACTCTATCTCAAAGAACAAGCCAGGTATGGTGTCACATATCTATAATCCCAGCTATACATGAGCCAGAGGTAGGAGAATATTGGCTGGAGATCAGCCCTGGACAAAAAACAAGATCCTTCTGAGAAACATCTAAAGTAAAAAGGGCTAGGGGTGTGGCTCAAGTGTTAGAGTTCAAACTGTGATATTATGAAAAAGAAAGAGTGAAAGAAAGAAAGTTCACATAAGACTATTCTCTCTAGAATGCTAGAGTGTTGCTGTGAGGAGATAAAAGTATATAATAAAGGATGAGTGTGTAAGACATAGGATATATATATTGGTACAAATAATTTTATACATATAATTGGATTCTCAGAAAGAGAGGAGAAAGGACAGTGCAAAAATATATGAATAGATAATGACAAAACTTTGCAGAACTTTAAGGATAGAGGAATTCATGTATTTAAGAAGTCAAAAATACAACCACCCCCCTCAAAACAACAAAAAGTCAAATAAATCCCAAGGAATATAAATAAAAAGAAAAGAATTGGGGCCAGGTGTGGTGGTACATGCCTGCAATCCCAGCTACTCAGGAGGTGGAGGTAGGAGTATCAGTCTGAGCTCAGCCCAGGCAAAAGCATGAGACTCTATCTGAGAAACAAACTCATGCGAAAAGGACTGGGGCATGGCTCAAGTCGTAGGCTGCCTGCCTCACAAGTGGAGGCACTGAGTTCAAACCCCATTTCACACACACACAAAAAAAAAAAAATAAAGAAAATTATGGACATGTAATAGCGACACTGAGCAGACAAAGTAAACAAAGAAGACTTAAATGAGACCTATATCATCATGGATTAGAAGCCTCAATACTAAAAAGATGTGAAATTCAGTTCACACTGATTTACAGTTTGAACACAATCCCAATCAAAATTCAAACAGCCTTCTTGGCAAACCTGAAAAACTGGTTGACAGTCAAAGGCCCAATGAGAGCCAAAGCCACGATAATGTCGTTCTACTGTGAGCAGAGACCATGAAAAGAAGTGAGCTGGAGAGCCCACAATCACACAGAGACACACAGTGTTCCAGATGACCCATACGCGATTCACCACAGTGTGGACTCAGCAACTTAGTGCAGGAGGCAGAGAGAAAGACAGAGAGAAGAGAGAGAGAGAGAGAGAGAGAGAGAGAGAGAGAGAGATTCTAGCTGGCTTTCATTCTTAAACGTGAATGGTCAAGAAGGTAATGAGTGATGGAAATGACTTACCCTTATGACACAGTACACAAAAAAAATTAATCAAAAAGGAAAAGATTGATAAACTTTTGTCATTAAAATTAATAAACTAAACTCAGCAAAAGATAGATACACATGCAAATACTGTACATTTACAATCTGTGTACTCTTCTGAATATGTGTAGCAGTACATAAGAAAGAAGTCAGGCCCACAATCCTACTACTGAGCCAAAAGGAATGAAATAATTATGAGGAAGAGGCCTCTGTACCCCCACTCAGAGTAAGATATGAAATCAACCCATCTCTCAATGGATGAATGGATGATGAAAACGTGGTATGCATACACAACAAAATACTATTTTGCCTTAAAAAAGAATGAAATCCTGTTGGTTGCAACAACATGGAAGAGCACATTGTGCTAAGTGAAATAATATAGACACAGAGACTTAAACATGCATGATCTCATTTATATGTGGGATCTTAAAAACATTAAGTGAACAGAAATAGAAAGCAGAATAGCAGTGACTGAGGGCCAGGGTGGGGAGAAGTAGAGGACTGGAGAGATGTTGGGGACAATGTTAAGGACAAAATAGAGTTAAATGTCATAGTTGCACCTGCCTCCAGTAACCTTGTGAGAGTGATGACTGGATGTCACAAACAGTCTGGTCTCTACCCTAATGGAAATAATAAGCCCAGTTCCCTTTGAGATGGTCTCTCACTTGGACCCATGCACCTGGCTGAGGGCTGAGGGCTGAGGGCTGAGGGCTGAGGGCTGTAGGGAAGATCCCCTTTATGTTCTTGTCACCAGTGAGCCAGGCAGGGTAGGGATCCTAGACTGTCAGACAATCACGGGGGCTGGAAAGTGTGCAGCCTCGTTTGAAGGCATCTACAATAAAGAACAGATGGAAAGAAAAACTTTTTCTCAGAAAATGAAAGACTAGTTTAAAACCAACCAGCCAACCAACAAACTTACTTTGTCTGGTTTGTGGTGTCCCTGTCCCTAAAAGAAACAGAGTAGGCCTAGCTCCAAAGGGAAACCATCAGCTGTAGACAGCTGACAGCCCACAAAATTAAACTGGAATTTAATGGTGTACATGGTCTTCTGGAAGGTAAGTGCCTCTGGCATCCCTGCTGATCTTTAGGGCCCAGTGCAGGCCTCAGATGGAGAGAGATGGTAAGATGGAGGAGAACTTGGATGTCACACATCAGAAAGCATGAGACTAGATGAGGCATACACCTGTCATCCCAGGAGACAGAGACTGGGAGAATCACAGTTGGAAGCCAGAACTGGGAAAAAGTTAGAAAGATTCAATCTCAACAAATAAACTGGGTATGGTGGTTCATGCTGCAATCTCAGCTACCTAAGAGGTATAGGTAGGAAGATCATGATCCAAAAGGCCTGTGCAAAAAGCATGAGACCCTATCTGAAAAAATAACTAAAGCAGAAAGAGCTGTCAACATGGCTTAAGTGGTAGAGTACCTGTCTAGCAAGTGTGAGGCCCTGAGTTCAATACCTGGTACCACCATAAAAAAAACAAAACCAAAAGAATGAAAAAAAAAAAAGGTGATGAGGATCTGTAAGACAAAGAAGAAGTAGTGAACAAAAATATTTTGTGGTCTGCAGTGGGCATCTTTCCCATACCTCTAACATTTCCAACAAAGTTTTCAATGGATCATGAAATGCTTACTGTTAAGAATTTGCTTTAGAAACTTGTGGAAAGAAGGAATTTTACAACCTGGTTGACATGATGCAGAACAGAGACAGAGGACATAGGCAGAGGGGGTGGATGCTCCAAGGCCAGGACACAGTATTTGGGGTGGGGGTGGGGAGATAGCAAGGACATTTCTCCTCCAATGCCAGAAGCAGGGGGATCCAGCCACCTCTGGTGTGTGTACATTTGTGCACATACTCAAACAAATGGGCTCCTGCTACCATACTGTCTTACAACACAGTACTTGTCACTCAACATATCACAAACAATACTGATTCTTATTGAACTAAGCTCCTTTGGTTGGATTTTAATCAAATTCCTTCTTCCTTATTTTTCACTTTCCTCATGAATGCCTATGGTAAGTCTTGGTTTATACCCATGATTACTCAATTGTAATAGAATATTTATTTTAACCTAAGTCTTAAAAATATCTATAAAAATTAAAAAATAATACAAGCAAAAACATGGAAAAATTAAAAAAAATAAAAATGGACACACATACAAAAAAGGCAAAACAAAATGCTCAGAGCATTCTCCTTGGGGCCGGATCTGACTCAAATACTTCTAAAATAATATTAACATTAATAAATGCAGAACAGCTTCTTGTATTTCCTAGGTATCACACAATAGTGAGATTGGAATTTCTCTAAATAATTCATATGAAAAGTATCATTAATGATAGAAATTCCTCACATAAAACTATAACACCCACATGACAAGTGACCAAAGCACAATCTCTGTTCACATGACAACCTTTACTGTTCCATCTATTTAAAGCACTTTAGGGGAGATAAAATATTTAAATCAATTACTGTGAACAAACATAATCATCATTAGTTAATTAAAAATCTACCTTTGAGAAGTTCCACATTTCTCACACATATTTAAAATATTAAAAGTAAAATCTAATTATAATCTAAAAGCCACCATTTGTCTCTTCCTACCTCTTTTATCTTAAGCAGGAATTCATTTTTTTCAGTATGAGATACATCATCCAGCTTTTCCTTGTGACTTGCAAAAAAATTCCTATGAGCAAAGACAGCCAGATTCACATCAGAACATATTTTATAGCAAAGCCACACTTACTTATGACATCAGAATTGTCTAGGTCCCACCTCCCCATAAAACCTATTTTATATACCTGTTTTAAAAAACAAATTTTTTACTCTTTTGAATTAATGAAATAATACTTCATTTATTTAATTTACCCCATTAAAAAGCAATTATTGAGTACTTACACTCTGCCAGTAGTTGTTCTCGGTATTAGGGACACAGTGTATGCAAAGTCTTCACTTTCCAGGAAATTACCTTCTAGAGGAGTAGTTGCAACGGAAGCAAGGTGTCAAACAATAAATCACACATTTCAGATAGTGTTCAGGGCTCCAAAGAACACAAGGTAGGGTAAAGGATACGTGGGGATTAGATCATGTAGGGTGTTGGGGGTAAGGTAGGAGTTCAGATTTTATTCCCAGTGGGACCAGGGAAGGATTTTTTAAGCAGAGGAGCAGCATGAGCCGACTGACATCTTGTAAAGATAACTCTGTTTACTTTGTGGAGAAGACAGCATAGGTGAAGACAGACCATGCAGTAGCATGGCAGTTCTCCAGACTAAGGATGGACTTGTGAAGATGGTACATGGGTGTACACAGCTGTGTTCAGGATGCATTTCAGAGATGATGGCAACGCAAAAGCCTTTGGATCTAGTTAGAGTTAGAGTTGGGTTAGGGCTCAGTAGAGAGCAAAACAGAGGAGGTGGATGGCTCCTAGGCTTTCAGCTTGTGCAAAGAGTGAACAGTGGTGTCACATTAGCTGATAAGGAAGATCATGTGAAGAACTGTTTCAGGGAGGTGGGAAGTCAAAAATTTTGTTTAAGACATTGTCGGAGACAAGGCTCCCTTTGTGAGCCATTCTGTCTTGACCTTGCCCTGGAACATTTTGCGGTTGTTTGTCCCAACTTCTCCATCTCCAGCACAAGATGGTGCCGTCCCTGCTTCTCTTCCAGGAGTTGACCTTGGTGCCGGCGCGAACGTGCACCCTATCAGAAGTCCTATAGCAGAACCAGCCAACCAGCCTGCACCTCCTCATACCCCTCACTCCCTCAGCACATAAATACCCCTGTGTGAACAATAAAATTTTGCAGCTTGATCAGAACTCCTGTCTTGCTGTCTCCTTCGTGTCTCTTGTCCCTTCATTCTTCCCCTTCTAGGTTCGCTACCCACACTGATGTGTCCTGCAGGACGGGACATCTGGCGCCCAACGTGGCTGTAGCTATTCCTTTGATTGCGGGGAGAACACCGTCCTCCGGGAGGGCTTGGGCCCAAGCGGAGTTCGCGATCGCCTCGGCTAACGCAACCAAGAGACAGATCCAGGAGGAGAGTGAGGAGTGCAAACGGTGAGTGACCCACCATGGGACAAGCAGTATCGTCACATGATTTGTTTCTTTCAGGCCTCAAGGAGGCCCTCAAGACACGAGGGGCACGTGTTAAGAAAAAAGACTTGAGGTCATTCTTTTGTTACATAGGAGATTTATGTCCTTGGTTTCCTCTCGAAGGAACCATTGATGGTAAAAGATGGCTCCGGGTCGGAGACTGTTTAAAAGACTATTATGAATCTTTTGACCCCGAAAAGGTCCCTGTGACCGCCTTTTCTTATTGGAACTTGATTAATGAAATTCTCAAAAGTGCACCCTTTGATAATGGTACTTTAAAACTTGTTAAAATTGGGCAAAATGCTATGCAGACGGCTTCCTGCCCTCCTACAGGGGTCTCTGATGGTGGAGGACCCACGGATGCTGTCAAACATCTTCAAATAATCGAGCTTTTAAAACCCCAAATCCCCGAACTCACATATCACCCCTTAATGTTGCCTAAATCTCAGATTCCAGATTTAGATCCCAATACATTAGATATTTTGGGAAGTACCTTCTCCTTGCTTAACACTTCCAACCCCACCCTTGCTAAGGATTGCTGGCTTTGCATGACCACAGGAGCAATAATGCCCATATACCTGTTAACTCCACCATAAATAATCAGGATACCTGCCAATCTGGACTTCCCTTTAAAGTACAGCCTATGGATGCACCCACAGTATGCCTTCAAGGCAGGATGCAAAATAATTCTTATGATATTGACGTTGGGGTTAGTTCTTTTGGAAATTGCTCATCAGTTCTAAATTATTCCTCACCCACCCCAGCTCTTTGTCCCCTCAACGGTACGGTTTTTTTTTGTGTGGAGGAAACTCAGCCTTCCCCAGGCTTCCAGCAAATTGGACTGGTGGCTGTGTTGTTGCCTTATTACTCCCAGATATTACTGTTGTGTCAGGAGATGAACCTCTGCCCATTCCTAGCTTAGACACCCGAATTAAAAGACATAAACGGGCAATACAAGCCTTGCCGCTCCTTGCCAGCCTTGGAATAACAGCAGCTATAGGCACAGGTACAGCTGGCTTAGGCACGGCTATACACTCTTACCGTCGCCTATCTCAACAACTTATAGATGACGTACAAACTCTATCTGGAACCATTAAGGATTTACAGGACCAAATAGACTCCCTGGCAGAAGTGGTCCTTCAGAACAGGCGAGGCTTAGACCTGCTAACAGCCAACCAGGGAGGTATCTGCCTGGCCTTAGGGGAAAGATGCTGCTTTTATGCCAATAAATCAGGCATAGTACGCACCAAAATTAAACAGCTTCAAGAAGATTTAGAAAGGAGACGAAGGGAGCTATTTGAAAACCCCCTCTGGACTGGGCTTAATGGAATTCTACCCTACCTTCTTCCACTATTAGGCCCCTTGCTAGGTCTACTTTTAATTGTGATCATAGGGCCCTGCATTATAAACAGGCTGATACAATTCATTAAAGAACAAATTAACACCTTAGCCTCTAAGCCTATACAGGTCCATTATCATCGCCTGGATATGGAAGACCGTGCTCCTGAGACCCTCCTTTCAATAAAACTCGCTAAATGCTCCATCTGGGTTTCCAGATTTTCTCTCTGCCACCCCCTCTTCTTATATAACATTCTTGACCACTCATCGCCCATTGGGCCCTCCTCCGCTGGGCCCCTCTGCTTGGGGGAGGCAGCACCCAGGGAGAGTGATCATAAAGGCTTTTCTAAACGAGGGTGCAGGTAAGACTGCACGAGGGTGGATCTTAGGATCCCCAGACCCAAGACCTCTGTATGACATGCCCTGGTGCATGGCGGTTGGCATGCTCCTAAAAAATCCGCCTCCTCAAAAAACATGCCGAGGAGATTCTCTTGAGAACTTAGCAAGGACGCTTGCTTACAAAGCAAAATGATCTCCACCCTGAGGAACTGGGCCTCTGTCATCCCCTCTCAATAAGCCGACATATTCTGGTCATGTTTGTATAAGAATAAGGGGGAAATGTCGGAGACAAGGCTCCCTTTGTGAGCCATTCTGTCTTGACCTTGCCCTGGAACATTTTGCGGTTGTTTGTCCCAACTTCTCCATCTCCAGCACAAGATGGCGCCGTCCCTGCTTCTCTTCCGGGAGTTGACCTTGCCGCCGGCGCGAACGGGCACCCTATCAGAAGTCCTATAGCAGAACCAGCCAACCAGCCTGCACCTCGTCGTACCCCTCACTCCCTCAGCACATAAATACCCCTGTGTGAACAATAAAATTTTGCAGCTTGATCAGAACTCCTGTCTTGCTGTCTCCTTCGTGTCTCTTGTCCCTTCATTCTTCCCCTTCTAGGTTCGCTACCCACGCTGATGTGTCCTGCAGGACGGGACAAGACATTCCATGTGTGATATATCCAAGGGGTACCCTCCAAGCGGAGAAGCCCAAAAGTAAGTGCAGACTGTGCAGTTAGAGCCAAGGGAAGAGGTCCTGGCTGGATATACAAATGTGGGAGTGTTGGGCATACAGAGAGTATTTAAAACTACGAGGCTGAACAAAAACATGCATGGAAAATATGCACGGAGTTCAGTGAAGGGCTGAGAACTCCAAAACTTAGAATCTGAAAGTACTGGAATAAGTAAAGGATCCTAAAATGAGCAACCAGAACAGTAAGTGGGGAAGGAGAATGTGATGTTTAAGAAGACCAGTGAAGGATGTCTCTCCAGAAGGTGGAAGTGATGTGCTATGCCAAATTCTATCATGAATTTGAGAACTTTAAGGAACAGACTGTATCGCTAAAGTTTGACAGGATGGAAGTCATAAGTAACTTTGTTAATTCTGAAACCATTTTAGCCACCCAAAGCATTCACAATCTTCATAGCCTTGTGCTCTTTAATGGCAATAATAACCTCTGGGTCATGAATTGGATGTCATTTATGTACAACCAGACATTTCCCGTGGCTCTCTTTACTAGAGACCACAGCAACTGAGAAAGGTAGGCACTGGATTTGCCTTTAGCAGTATGAACCTATCATGCTGGATATCAATGACAATAAAGAACAAGGATCAAACTATCATCTTTGAATCTGTGGAGCACTGGAGGTACTTTTTTTTTTGAGAAGAGTTTCACTATCTAGCCTGGGTTGGCCTTGAACTCATCATCCTGTCTTAGCCTCCTGGGACTCCAGGTATGCACCACCACACCAGTACTTGACACAGTCTTAATTGTTCAAACACATAAAATTTATACTTGAGATTGAATGAGTTTCTTTTCCTTGATATTTTGACATCAAAATGGGCAACGGTACTGTAACTAGTAAACTTAAAGATTCACAAGGGGGGGATTAAGGCTCAAGGTTAATAGGAAGATGAGTTGTACAAATTATTTTAGTTTCTTGTTATTCTTATAAAACCTTATAGATATGTATGAAACAATACTGACCCTGTAAATCTACCAACAAGAACTAGGTTGTTTCTCCCCACCTCCATAGAGGAAGGAAATAAACTAAGAAAGAAAATAAAAAGGAGTACAGAGAGTTTTTCTCTTAAGTTTTCAAGTAATGAAGAGGTTAAAGTAAACTTTTAAGAATAAAAAGGTTAACTTATATCCTTGATCACTAAATTATTCAAAAGTGCTTTTCTTTGATGAGATTCCATTTAAAATAAAACTCTTGAAAATCAAAATGATGAACCATTAAAAATGGAAAACCATGGAAACCTCATTTCTTTCCTGAACACATACTTAAAACCACTTAAAACATGAAGATTGCTTAGAAATAAAACTAACAATGCAGTGAGGTTTTTAATCATAACTGCTAAAAACAATTTGAGCTAATTCATATCTTCAACCTTGTTTTTGTCTAATTTTTAAAGAACTGTGTATGAACTGAAAACTATTGAATTACTTACAAACTAAAAGGTTTTTTTTTGAAGTTTAGTCTTTATTAGTTGAGCTTTCCTACTTTTAAACTCTTATAATGAATTTAGAGAGCATTGCTTATTTTATGCACTGATGATGGCAGATCAGCATTATATCATGCAATTTCTGCTTTAGAAGACATTTTAATTACAATATTTAAATCCATGCAGAAATGAGTCATGCTATTATAGGATTCTAAGGTAAAGTCACTTGACTTTTGGAAATCTGTTCAGCCTGCATTAGTCTCTTACAGTATCAGTGAACCACCAGGCTGGGGCCCGCAAACAATATTACAAGATCCCATCTTCCTGGATAGAGCTGACTGGATCAGGAGTCAACACTGAACCAAACACATTCTTATGTGACATCTGGGAGCCCTCCTGGGAGAGTCTGTTGGTCAATCCCTACAAATGGCTGTCCCTGTGCCAGGTTAGGTCAGAGGGTTTGGCACAGTCATACTTTACCACGTGCTCAAGCACACTGATGTAGATAAAGAGAGAGTAAGACTGTCACAAAAGGCTGCACCGACTGAGAGTCTTGGAATAGGTGGAAGACTTTCTGGGTCCAGTCCCACAGGTAGCATCTTGGCTCTGAGGCTTCCCTGAACTTTCTCAGTAAGCACTACAAGTCTCCCTTGACTAACAATAACAGCACAGCTGGGTGGGCTGTAGCTTTAAGGCATGTACCAATAATGTGTTTCCCATGGGAATTTTGTTTGTAGGTAGTCAGGAACTGAAGTGAGGGGAACATATTCCAAAAAGTCCCTCCCTTCTCCCAAGAACTACATGATCCTTTTATCTTGGTACCTGAAAGTTTGGTTAATTTCAAAATGAAGTACTTCTATGAGGGTATCACACAAATTTGAGTAAATTAAGAGAATACAATTTCCATGTATATTAAAGACATGTTTTTAACATGGAAGTATTAACTGCTATCATTTGGATCTTGAATGCCCCCAAAGGCCCACATATTAAAGAACTGGTCTCCAGGGTGGTGGTATTAGGGTTGTGGAATCTTAAAGCAATAGAGCCTAGTGGGAGGTCTTTAGATCTTTGCGGGGCATAATATTAAAGGGGATTGTAGGGTCCCGGCTCTCTTCCCCTTGTTCCTTTTTGCTTCCTGACTATGAGGAAGTGGGTTTGCTCTCCCATCATAACACTTCCTTTGCCATGGGCACAAAACAACAGGGCCAAATGATCGTGGGTTGGAACCTCTGAAACTGTGAACCAAATTTTTTTTTTATCTTTATAAACTGATTATCTCAGGTATTTTGTCAGTGGTGGCAGTGTAACTAGTACATTAACATCTAGAAGTACTTCAGTAAAAATAAGTATCACACTTACATTTTATTCTTCAGAGTCTCACAAACTTTCTTCATATTTTCTACCTCTTCTTCCCATTCCTTTATTGATTTCAGTAGTTGTGACATCTCTAAATTGTGATCACTAAGAACCTATTGAAAATTCAACAAAAATATGGTGCCTAGTCATCACCAAATAATTCATAATGGCAGTTCAATGCCACTAAATATTCATAGGGGCTTTACACAGGGGCTATCCTTTAGTGGAAAAAAGTAACCATTATCATTGTTTCATTATAAAATAAACTTGATTAAAATAATTTTGAAATCATCAGAGAACCTAAACTTTGGTGGGGTAGATGACCAAATATAGTAGTAAGAATGTGAAAACTATATTTTAGAAGACTTTTGAGATAAGAATTCATTTTGTCTACCATTTTTTTAAAAATTAAGTAAATCAATATTGTCATAATCATCTCCAAAGTATTATCCCAGGATACTAGAATAAGTATTATTAAAAAAACAAATTGGGTCTTTTGCTATAATTGATAGCTATACTTATGGCAAAAATAATTTTTCTTAATATTTGCTCAATGTTAAGGAAATAGAATAATTGCATAGTATACAAAAGTGTTAGCATGACTTAAAAGAAGGAAAACTTGATGGAGAACCTTCATAGTTAAAGAGATATTTTTTACAATGTAGTTTTGGTATAAAGAAAGGGGAAGTCAGACTTACTGAAGCTTGGCTTTACATTGCAGCTCAAGAGGGAGAGCCAAGTAAGGGAAGTCTGAGCAAACACATGGTTCTGCTCTTTGACTCAGAGTCACTATGAACGGATTATTTAAACCCTCTAATCCTGGACATCACTGTGGGTCCAGAGAAACACTGCGTGGAGGAGGAATATGGAGGTACTTTCAGCCATGACATGTACCACAGGTAGGTGAAGACCACTCCAAATGGTTTATTTCTCTAGAGCACCTGTGTAATTAAATTTCTGCATCACAGCTAGCTCCAGAGTTAACTGGATCTGAAACTGTAGAAGTGCCATCAAAATTAGCAGAATGTTGAAAGGTCTCTGATTAGTCACCAGGATTAAGGCTATATACTGAAGGTCTGTTATGCCTGACATATTATCTCTAGCTCTCAGCTGTTCCTGCCCAAGGATCACAACCAATTAGTCCTTTCTGCTAACCTTCCATCAGCTTGACCTGGTTGCACAGACTTCTGAATGGAAAGTGCCATGCAAAGGTTAATCTGAGCTTCCAGCCAAGAGTGGTGGTTTATACCTATAATTCCAACACTTGAGGGGCTGAGGCAGGAGGACCACAAGTTCAAAGCCAGGCTGGGCTACATAGTGAGACCATCTCTCAAAGCAATAATAGTTGGAACTTTCTTGTGGTCTCAGTCCATGTTCAAAATGTTGTCTTCTAATCTCAACCAACTACAACCATAAACTTTACCAAATATAAAAAGCATGATAGGCATGACCTCATTTCATCTCCACGAAAACTTTTGCAGTAGGCAGTATTATTGAGGGTGAGAAACTTCAGGTTGGTAGATCCAAGATTTGAGGCCAGATCTGTGTGACACTCAAGCCTGTGCTTTAAGCACCATTCTCTCCTAATAAGTCAGTAACACTTGACTGAGGGAGATGGAGCAGGCTCTGGGGCTAAGTTTATGGCTGTCACCTTCAAGCCTAACTTGGCCTTAGAGATCTCAGAGTATATATTAAGCAACATATGCTTCATTTTCCAAAGCTAGGTTTGTAGGATGCTTGATTTATGATTTATGAGGCCAAACCTGGAAGTATGACCTTGGGAATACTGATGAAATATGGTTTGTATAACTTCTGTATTGTCCTGTAAGCCTTGTCTGACCTATGCATCCTTACTATGTTGACATCTAAAAATGAGCCAACCAAGGTGGTGGCATACCTGTGACCCCAGGTACTTGGGAAGTTGAGGTAGGAGGAGCTCGAGTTAGAGACCATCCTGAGCAAAGGTAGTGAGACACTATCTCAAAGGCAAAATAAAAATAAAAGGGATCTGGACATGGCTCAAGTGGTAGAGCACTTTCCTATCATGTATGAGACTAGGGGTTCAATCCCTACAACCAAAGAAAAAAGTCTAAAAACCCATAATAATCTTCTTAAATGCCCATATTTGCCTTTACTAACATGCTATAATTAGATATCATAATAGATATACTGTAATTAAAATGAGCAGAACCATCCCATATAAAGTATAATTGAATTAATGGCACCTTCTGATAGAAAAGGTGTTGTTTCTGTATTACTGTTGTGTCAGTGTGGTTTTGCATGTGATTTTTCAATAGAAGAAATACACTAGAGATTCCTCAAATTAATCATGATGGAAGATTAATGGGTATTACTGTTTTAATTGATACAGAAGCCATGTTACCGCCAACCACCTCAATTTCAGTCACTTCTATAAGCTTCAATTTTCTCATCTTTAAAATAAGGATAATCTTTACAAAATGCATATTACAGTGATGGCCTTCAATAAATGTTATTAAATCTTTTTTGTAAAAGTACAGAACTGTGAAGTGTTTTGCAATTCAAACAGACAAATGGTGTCCTTTCCAAATTAATGTTACCTTATCCAATAGTAACGGAGAGCCTAAACTGTTCTAGTGTCCTAGAACAAAATGTAGAATGAAGGAGTCAGCCAGTTATTCATTTCATATATATATATGAAATGAATATATATATGAAATGAATATATACATACATATACATATATATAATAACTGTTTTATTTTACAACCATATATATATTTGGTTTTCCATATGTATGCATTTTTTGGTCAACATATTCACAGTGTTTGGTCCCACCATACTCCTGAAGAAAACACAGTTGCACCCTGTCTCTTTAAAAAAAGTGTCAGAAGATGTTAACATGCCAGAAAATGTCTCCCAGAATGGCATAAAGACAGATTAAAATCAACTCCTTTTTCCCTGAGATGCCTAGATTAGGCTTGAAAAAATATAGCTTCTCCTTTCTTACCACTGTGCTGCTAGTAACTGTTTGTTTCATTTTTGATAATTTGTTTCTTAATCGATCCAATTCTTTCTTCTTTGTGTAAGTCTCCTTTTTTTTAAGTTCAGAGATGCTTTTTAACTCATTAATCTATAATGATGAACAATAAGCCAATTAGAAAGCCTATTAGCACAACAGAGTCAGAAAATCTTTTTGTCAACATAATTCATATTCAATCTAAGCATACCATATTCAATCTAAGTATACCAAAAAGTAAAATAAAACACACCAGGATTTGCTTATTTTGCAGTATCAAAGGAAAAACGGCAGACCATATGGACTAAGTTAACTTTTAAAATGCTGAAGTAGTAAATTATAAGAGCAATAATAACAATGACCATTATTAATAACAAATTCTAAAAGCAATTTTCCCTTTTATAGTATAGCAGTGGTGACCACATTCACAATGTACTAAGAAGACTGGGAGAGTCAAGGAAGCAATGAAGAATTGTCTGCAAACCTAAATTCACATTACTTAGCAAGAAATCAAAGCAAAGTAAACACAGTCATTGAAGAGAGGGCAGATTATAATTCTGGACAACTTCTTAAAACTTTACCAAGCTCAAACATATTATTATTATTATTTTATTTTTATTTTTGGCAGTACTGGGGTTTGAACTCAGGGCCTCACCTAGGCAGGCACTCTACTACTTGGAGCCTAAGATCCAACATATTCTGATCCTTGTCAGACCCTAATGTATGAAAGACACTCTTATTAAAATCAAACATATTTGTCTGCAAAATAATCAAGAATAAGATAATTAAGTAGAAAGGCCTAAGAAAGCATATTCAACTCTGTATTAAAGAGTTGTGAAAACAAGTCTGCTTGCTTTCTGTTTAAGCCCCCTGGTTGCTTCACTAGAAGTGGCTACTCTGAATGTGATAATTATCCAATTAACTCTGCACCAAGGCAAAAATGCAGACAAATGAAGCTTGTTGAAAATTACAAATCTTTATATTTTGGTTTAATCCTTCTCTCAAGGTTTTGTAATTATAGAAACCACACTGGCAAACTGTTTTGTTCGTGTTAGGGTTTAAAGATTCTCTGACACCAGTAATAGTTTTTCCTTTCTCATAGAAGTAGGGGAAACATCAGGTTGTTACCAAGGCTTGTCATAAGTCTTTATGGAATGATGGGGGTTGGCTCATAATCCACCAGCACATTGCCACTCCCTTAGAGATTCATTGCTGCTCTAGGGCTGGGCACCACCTGCACCTGATCCACCAGACACAGCAGAGGAGGGCTTATGGTCTTTGCTTACAACCCACAAGGGAAACCTGCCTTGGGATGCAAGGCAGAGGGGAGGGTGAACCCAGCAGCTGCACTAACTAGTCCTGAAAGTTGCCCCCCCTCAGAAATTCCTGCAGTGTGAAATAATAAATAGCCTTCATGGCTTTAGCCAGCTTGAAGTAGGGTTTTACTATTTGCACCTGAAAGCATTTTAACGAGTGTCCTCTTTCAGGGAGACAGTCCAGAGTGGAGTGTTCAGGGGCCAAATCCAGCTACCATCCTCTATGCAAAAGCACCCTCATTTACACACCATTTGTTTACTTTTGTGCTAAAATGGCAGAATTGGGTAGTTGTGATAATGACCGTATGGCCTAAAATATTTACTATCTGGCCTGTTTCAGAAAAAGTTTGTGAACCTTTGAGATAGACTTCATATAGCAATAAGGAAGAAGAACCTGACATATTTGGAAATTGCCTATATGAAGCCTATTTGAGCTTTCTTTCTTGGGTTTATATTAAAGAACAGGAAGAGAGAAAAAGTACCTTCCCTCTAGGGCTTCAAATAAAGTTTAAAACTCATTCATTTGAGAAAGTAGTATGGGGTGGCTAACATATGTGCAGGCCTGATCATGGTGCTAGGATACACCAGTGGATAAAACAGACAAAACTCCTGCTTCATGAATCTTTGTTTCCAATGGACAAAGCTCAGATTGGTGCCACCTGATTGACTATTCTGGTCCCAGGAGAAGTAAAGAAGGAACTGGGTTCCCCTACCCTATCCCTCCAGGGCTCAGGAAGTCCTTACCCAGTTATGCCCAGTCAGACATCCTACTCTGCCTCTGTAACTTAAGTGATTAGAGCCAGTTTGAGGGTTCTGGGCTGATGGGAGAGAACAGAGCCCCATTGAAGATGAAGACCGTGGCGGGAGCACAAGTGCTGCTCAGCATTGCTGTGGATAAGGAATGAAAATGGTAAAGCCCCTTTTGAACCCTGTTTTGAAATTTCCATTTTACTGTGATGACAGTAAGTCCAAGGAAGGCCTACCTCAGGGAGAGGAGCCTCATCCTGTTCTTGAGACACAGATGCCAGGTGATCCAAGTGCCACAGCAGCCCAGGCTGTCTGCAACTCCAGACAGAGTCCAGGGAGCCAGGCTTCCTACAAAGTCTGTTGGTTAGCTGCAGAGGGCTCAAGCAAGTTTGCTATGGTATGAATATGTTCCCCCCAAATTCACATGCCACAACTTAATTGTCAATATGATATTATCAAGAGGATGGGCCTTTAAAAGGTGATTAGCTCATGAGGGTAAAGCCCTCATGACTGGAACTTGTAAACTTAAAAGGGATAAAAGGAGTGAGCTAGACTCTTTCTTTTCTTGAAGGGCAGTGCTGGGGTTTGAACTTGGGGTCTTGCTCTTGCTAGGCAAGTGTTCTAACACCTAAGTCATGCCCCTAGCTCTGAGCAAGACTCTTTCTTGCTTTCAGCCATGTGAGATCACAGCACTCATCTCCTCCAGAGAATACAATGTTCAAGGTGACACCTTGGAAGCAGACTGCTCCCTCACCAGACATTGAACTCATTAGCACCTGATGTGGGACTTCCTAGCCTCCAAAACTGTGAGAGGTAAATTTTTATTTTTGGTAAATTACCCTGGTTCAAGTATTTTGTTATAGCAGCACAAACACACTTAAGATGACTCCCCAGCTACTTTGCAAAATGCCTGTTACCAGGAAGATTAGGGTTGAGCTGGTCTATTCTTGGAGAGAATACTTCATAGTTTTAGGGTGAAACTCTTATGAAGAGGTAGACGTTTTAAAGCCATTCCAGTCAGACCTGACTGGAATTTCCAAGTAGCCCTTCTTATCATCCAATCAACTTCCATAAAACCCAATGGCAACTGCCATATTATTTTATTGCTTTAAATTTAAATTTAAGACTCAAGAGCTTTCTGGGGTAAGATTGTGGATTAGAAACTTCTTTCTTGTGACTTTGTGGAGAATAGCCAGGGCAACAAAGCACAGATTACGTTTCCAAGAGATAAAGATAAAACAGCACAAAGAGAGGTGATGCAGAGAAAAGTAGGAAACAGTCTTCAGTTCCAATCCCAGTTCGTGGTGGGGTGCCAGGTATGTGTGTGTGTGTGTGTGTGTGGCATGAAGCCACAACCACAAAGTAAGCAAGGCAGTCTGGTGACAACAGACTAGCAGTCCTCGCTACACATGAAACACACACTTTTTATAAACCTTAAATCCAGTGAGGGTGTGACAATGACTCCTCCTGTTTGGTAGGCCAGCATTGGAAAAAACCATTTTGTTGCTGCACATATTTTGGAATGCCAGGTATTATTTTGACAGGGGTCTATTGTTTGAGACTGAGCTATTCTGAAGACCTGAAAAAAGGAATTATCACAAGTCAAGGAGTCTAGGGACACCCTGTCAAAGTGTCTGGGTGGGGAACAGTTAGGAAAGGCAGTACTGGAGATGGGGGAGTGAGGGAAGACACAAACCTGCTAAGAAGTGTAAGCAGCAAGAGTTTGGGTGGTGGAGGGTCTGGTGGTTAGTGGCCCCAACCTCTGTGGCAAAAAGAAGCCCCATTACCTGTGGATCACTGTGGAGGCTGACAGCATCAAGGTCATGGCTGGCAGATTGCTCAGCCTCCAGAGTTGCCTCATTGGCAAGAGATCTGAACCCAGTTCAGCAGACTGCTCAATTCGAGTCTCCTCCCTCCTACAGGGTGGCTTACTGTTGGTCAGGATCTGAAAGTACTGAGACTGGCAAGCAGAGTGCCAGTTCTGTTGGTCCCCCGCCAGCCCAGTGCAGAATTTTAGTGCTCTGTTTGCTTCTCTCACTCTCTGACAAAATCAGGAGGAGACTTGGAGGTTGCTCCTGGGTGCAGAAACTGGAAGGCCTGTGTAAAGAATGGGAACCTGACCAGCCCATAGGCCACAAAGCTCACTGGGCCCAGCAGTGACTGTGTACACATAGAAGGGAAACTTCTAAAGTGAATGCTGCCCTGAAGCTGACAGCAAACCCTTGACTGGCCCAGCCCTCAGCCCAAACACAGCACAAGTTAGTATACTGTAGTATGGCTAGTAGGAAATACAATAGACCCCAGACTACCTTCCCTCACCTGGCAGATTCCAATACCAGAGACTCAGAAAGTTCTCTAATTCTTTACCTTTTTTTTTTCATACTTAAGAGCTTTTTCTTTTTTACTAATTTTTTAGTATTGTTTTTATTTCTCTTGGACCTTTATCTAATTTTATTTTTTTAAAATCACATTTTTTTGAGTATGTGGTACTGGGGTTTGAATTCAGAGCCTTGAGCTTGCTAGGCAGGTGCTCTTTTACTTGAGCCACTCCACCAGACCTTTTTTACACTGGTTATTTTTGAGATAGTCTTTCTTTATGCCTAGGCTGGCCTTGACCATAATCCTATTTGTGCTTCTTGGAATGGCTGTGATGACAGGTAAGTACCAATGCACCAATGTACATATCTCTCAAAAATAATCCTAAGTGTCTTAACTATCTAATTTAAAGACGCAGACAGAATGGACAGAATAAAAAAAACATGACCCAACTAGTTGTTGTCTATGAGAATTTCATCTCATTGGCCAACACATACAGACTGAAAGTGAAAGGATGGAAAATGTATTCCAAGCAAATGGAATCTAAAATCAAACAGCAGTAATGATACTCATATCTGACAAAGCAGACTTCAAGCCAAAATTAGACAGAGGGAAAAATATATTAATAAAGGGAATACTACATCAAGAAGTTATACTAATTATAAATAAATATGCACTGAACATTGGTGCACTCACTCAATTTCTAAAACCTATACTACTGGACATAAAGATCCAGATACAATAGTAGTGGGTGACTTCAACACCAAACTCTCATCAACAGATAGATCATTCAAACAAACAAAAAAAAATCAGCGAAGAAATTATCCCTTAGATAAAATGGGCTTAACAGATATCTACAGACCATTCCATCCAACAGCTGTGGAATATATATTTTTCCCAACAACTCTTAGAACTTTCTCTAAAATAGGTCACATTTTAAGCTATGAAGAAGCTCTTAACAAATAACAAAGCACTGAAGTAATTTCTTGCATTTTATCAGATCATAATAAAAAAAGTAGAAATCAATAGCAAGAAAAAGTGTAGAAACTATACAATCACACAGAAATAGGATACTATACTTTTAAATGATCAATGGGTTATTGAAGAAATCAAGGAGGAGACTTTAAAAAATCCTAGAATCAAATGAAAATGAAAACACAACTTAATAAAAGCTTTGGGGTATAGCAAGAGGAGTTCTAAGAAGGAAGTTTATTGTTATGAGTGCCTACATTAAAAATCAGAGAGTTCTCCCATAAATAACCTAATGATGTATCTAAAGACCTTAGAAAAGCAAGAACAAGACAAACCACAAATGAGTAGACAGCAATAATAAAGACTGGGGGGGAGAGTAATCAAATTAAGTTTACTAAAGAATAATAGATAGTGTTAAAAAAACAAAGAACTGGTTCCTTGGAAAGATAAGCAAGATTGAAAAGCCCTTGGTCAATCTAACAAAGAGAGAGCAAAGCTCCAAGTTAATAAAATTAGAGATTAAAAAGGGGCCATTATAACAGATACCAGTGAAATCCAGAGAATCGTTACGAAATATTTTGAAAAGTTATATAATTAATTGGAAAATCTAGAAAAAGAAGATAAATTTCTAGACACATGTGACCTATCAAAATTGAAAGGATAAGCAACTTAAGAAGATCTATAATAAGCAATAAGATTGAAGCAGTAATAGTCTCTCAATAACAACATCAAAAAGCCCAGGATCAGATGGATTCATTGCTACATTCTACCAGAACTTTAGAGGAGAATTAACACCAATGCTCCTCCAACCATTCCATCAAATAGAAAAGAAAGGAACACTTCCAAACTCATTCTACAAAGTCAGTGTTAACCTGATACTAATACCAGACAAGGACAACACACATTAAAAAAAAGCAGCTATAGACCAATTTCCTTGATGAACAATACAAAAATCCTCAATAAGGAAAGCACTTGCAAACCAAATTCAACAACACTTTAAAAAGATCATACACTGTGATTAAATTGGTTTCATCCCAGGGACACAAAGATGATTCAACATACACAAATCAATAAATGTAATCCACCATATAAATAGAATCAAGGACAAAAATCACATGATTGTTTCAATTGAGGCGGAACAAGCTTTGACAAAATTCAACATCCCTTCATGATAAAAGTCCTGAACAAACTAGAAGTACAAGGGTCAGATCTCAACATAATAAAGACAGTATAGTATGTAACGTACTTATAGCCAACATTATACTGAGTGGGGGTAAATTGAAAGCCTTTCCTCAAACTCAGGAATGAGATGGGGGTGTCCATTCTTTCCACTCTTACTCAGTCTAGTGCTTCAATTCTTAGCCAAAGCAATATGGCTAGAAAAAGAAGTAAGAGGGATACAAATAAGAAAGGAAGAAATCAAATTGTCTCTCTTTGCAGACCATATGATCTTATATTCAAAAGATCTAAGGACTCTATCAGAAAACTCTTAGATCTGATAAACACTTTCAGTAAAGAAGCAGTATACAAAAATCACTAATTTTTCTATATATCAATAACATGCTGAGAAAGATACAGGGAAAACGATCCCATTCACAATTAGTCTTAACAACAACAATGAAACCTAGGAATAAACCTACATAAGGTAGGTTTACAGTGAATGGAATATTATTCAGCCATAAAGAAGAGCAAAGTTATTTCATTTTCAGGAAAATGGATGGAATTGGAGACCACCTTATTAAGCAGAATAAAATAAGCCAGACTCAGAAAGACAAATAACACATTTTATCTCTCATATACAGAATGTAGATTTTTTTTTTTTTTTAAAAAAAAGGACATGAAAGTAGAAGGAAAACTATTTGGGAGGAGGAAGGGGACCAGTAGGAGGGGTGGGGAGACAGCAGAGGTAATAGGGGTGAATATGATCAAAGTACACTAGATATACGTATGAAAATGTCACAAGACCCATTATTTTGTACAATTAATATATGCTAAGAAAAGACTCAAGAAAATAAAAAATCAATTTAATAAATTTTCCCTCCTTCCTTCCTTCCTTTCTTCCCTCTCTGTCTATTCTTCCCTCCTATTTAATAAAGCAATGTTGCAATCTCAAGTTTGATTTCCTGCATTTTACCCTGAGGTTATACCCTTTCCCTCCTGGGCAAGGCCAGCATCAGTTGCTCCACGGTTATTCTCATTGAGCTTGGTGCCCGCTGCATAGAGAGGACAGAGACTGTTGCTGGGAGCACCTGGTATGGAAGCAGCCTATGGCTCTTGGGGCAACCACAGCACAGCTAGAAAGAAACCACCCTAGGCCCTTTATGGTTAATTTTAATTAACATGGCACAGCAGATAGTACAGCCCCCTCAGGGGCCAAAAAAGAGGCAGTTGTTATCCTTGCCCCACCCTCACAAAATCACTGGTTTGAACAGTTTACTCCTTAGGCCTGTGTTCTGGCCAGCCATCTGCAGGCCTCTCCTCTCTCAGGTTCATTCAGCAGGAGCTGCAGGAACTGGCAGATGCCCTGTCTGTCTATAAAAGGAAGCCTCAGAACTGCCAAAGGCATCCAGATAAGATGGTGGCAAGTTCCTCCTTCCTATATGGCTATATATAAGGAGCCACACCAGTGTCACAAATCCTACCACTTATATTCTTTCCTATGAACAGAGATCCTGTGACACAATCAGATGTCTTCTCTGAGAGGTTCCAAATGTCTTTTAAGATAACCACAAAGAGCACTTAGCCAGCATTAAGGATAAATTATCACCCGTTTCTTGCCTCAGATTCTAAATAATTCTGCATTAACAAAAACAGACATGAAGACCAGTGGAACAGAATAGACGACCCAGATATGAAGCCACACAACTATAACCAACTTATCTTTGACAAAGGAGCTAAAAATATACGATGGAGAAATAGCAGCCTCTTCAACAAAAACTGGTGGGAAAACTGCTTAGCAGTCTGCAAAAAACTGAAACTAGATCCATGTATATCACCCTATACCAAGATTAACTCAAAATGGATCAAGGATCTTAATATCAGACCCCAAACTCTAAAGTTGATACAAGAAAGAGTAGGAAATACTCTGGAGTTAGTAGGTATAGGTAAGAACTTTCTCAATGAAACCCCAGCAGCACAGCAACTAAGAGATAGCATAGATAAATGGGACCTCATAAAGCTAAAAAGCTTCTGTTCATCAAAAGAAATGGTCTCTAAACTGAAGAGAACACCCACAGAGTGGGAGAAAATATTTGCCAGCTATACATCAGACAAAGGACTGATAACCAGAATATACAGGGAACTTAAAAAACTAAATTCTCCCAAAACTAATGAACCAATAAAGAAATGGGCAAGTGAACTAAACAGAACTTTCTCAAAAGAAGAAATTCAAATGGCCAGAAAACACATGAAAAAATGCTCACCATCTCTAGCAATAAAGGAAATGCAAATTAAAACCACGCTAAGATTCCACCTCACCCCTGTTAGAATAGCCATCATCAGCAACACCACCAACAACAGGTGTTGGCGAGGATGCGGGGAAAAAGGAACCCTCTTACACTGTTGGTGGGAATGTAGACTAGTACAACCACTCTGGAAAAAAATTTGGAGGCTACTTAAAAAGCTAGACATTGATCTACCATTTGATCCAGCAATACCACTCTTGGGGATATACCCAAAAGACTGTTACTCCAGAGGCACCTGCACATCCATGTTTATTGCGGCACTATTCACAATAGCCAAGTTATGGAAACAGCCAAGATGCCCCACCACTGACGAATGGATTAAGAAAATGTGCTATCTATACACAATGGAATTTTATGCAGCCATGAAGAAGAACGAAATGTTATCATTCGCTGGTAAATGGATGGAATTGGAGAACATCATTCTGAGTGAGGTTAGCCTGGCCCAAAAGACCAAAAATCGTATGTTCTCCCTCATATGTGGACATTAGATCAAGGGCAAACACAACAAGGGGATTGGACTATGAGCACATGATAAAAGCGAGAGCACACAAGGAGGGGTGAGGATAGGTAAGACACCTAAAAAACTAGCTAGCATTTGTTGCCCTTAACGCAGAGAAACTAAAGCAGATACCTTAAAGCAACTGAGGCCAATAGGAAAAGGGGAACAGGTACTAGAGAAAAGGTTAGATCAAAAAGAATTAACCTAGAAGGTAACACCCACGCACAGGAAATCAATGTGAGTCAATGCCCTGTATAGCTATCCTTATCTCAACCAGCAAAAACCCTTGTTCCTTCCTATTATTGCTTATACTCTCTCTACAACAAAATTAGAAATAAGGGCAAAATAGTTCCTGCTGGGTATTGTGGGGGGAGAGAGGGAGGGGGCGGAGTGGGTGGTAAGGGAGGGGGTGGGGGCAGGGGGGAGAAATGAACCAAGCCTTGTATGCACATATGAATAATAAAAGAAAAATGAAAAATAAATAAATAATTCTGCATTAAAAAATGTAAATCATGCCACCCACCTGTGCAGTCAGTTGCTGTTTTCTCATCAAAAGTTCTTCTCTGTGTTTTTCCATCAGCTCCTGTGCCTCTCGTGTAGACTTCTTCAGCAGTTCTATTTCCTGTTTCTTCAAGTTGATGAGGGTATAGACTTCATTTATACAAATGGTGGCACTGGCTTTTTCTTCCATTATGCGGTTGAGCAACAGGACAGACTTTGCATGCTGCTTTGCCAGCTCTTCTTGCTTTTCACTATGGGGAAAGAACCACTCATGGCATGAAAAGGATGGCACTTAGGAATTTAAAGTGTTTGGTGAGGTGAGCCCTCCTCATAGAGAGGGAAATTGTAAGGGATGCTTACTTTCTATCTGTGTTTGTGATTGCCTGAACTTGGGTGATCTGGGGACAGAAGGAAACAGAACAATAGTATCCATTTTGCAATTGTGTACCCACTGCAACATTGTGGCTCCCTCCCCATCCTACAAGCAGGATAGTAACTACAGGATATCTTGGATTAAAGTATATAATAACAACTCAGAAGTTGTATTGGACAGAGGGATGGGTCCTGGCCAGATGAATCTTTGCTGTGCACCATTGTCCTGAGGTGTATCATTAAGCCAAACAAGTAATCATTCCACCCTCTGGTGCTGTTGCCCTGTAGGGTGGGCCCAAGACAAAGCTCATCTTCTGGACAGAAACTAGAAAAAGAGAAGTCATCTCTACTGTTCAGAAGATTCTGGAGATTTAATTCAAGTTCTCTTATCTTCTCAGCCAGATCTGAGTACCAAGAGGAGTCACGAATCTCCCACATTTATCACTGGCCACAGCCATCTAAGGGAAGACCCTAATGTCGGGAGAAACATCTAACTGGAGGTTAACAATAAAAGATTTGAAGAAGGGATAATTGGTGCCATTTCTCTGTTTTACTTCTTAAAAGTTCTTGCAATGTTAAAGACCTTTTCCTTTTTTCTCTCCCATTAAAGACTAACTTGGCAGGGTGGGGGGCAGTGTTGTATCTGAAGGCTCAGGAAAATGGAAACCAGATGTTGAGGAATTCACTTTCCAGAATTCTATTCTACAATAGAAATGTAATAAAAAGAAGCTGAGCCAAGAGGCTCAGTGGGGGATCAGTAGCAGGTCTTCTGTGGGTCTAGCACAGGAAGCCATCTGAGAATGAATCAGCCCAATGACAGAAGAGTCTTGCAGAAGAGAACAAGTCAAATAAAAAAAACCTAACTAGATGTACTGTGATGGGTTGAGAAGAAAACTCACAAACAGAATGTGAGACCTAAGGAAAACATACCCAAAGATGTGTCTTGTTTCTAGTTTTCCAGGACTACCCACAAGAAGGGATATGCACACCACCCATCAGAGCTTGTAGGTACCTTTTCTTTGAAAAATAGTTGCAATAAGTGATTGTAGCTTGATGATGTAACCTCAATAAACAATCACCTTCTGTTTATAATTTGCCTTTTCATAAAGATATGTCTAAACCATTTCATTGTGGTAATTCCATTGATATGTACAAGTCCACCCCTTTATTATATTCCTTTAACCTGCTTCCTCCTCTGCCCTTTTAAAACAGTGTTTGGTGGGTTTCATTATTTTATTATCATAATGAAACCTCCTTGTACTATTATTTATGCTAACAAAGTTATTTTAAAAAGATTTGTCTAGGTGGGCATGGTTGATCATGCCTGTAACCCCACCTGTTAAGGAGGTGGTGATCCAGAGAATGGAGGTTAGAGGCTAGCCCAGGCAAAAAGTAAGACCCATTCTCAAGCCAGGGGTGCACATCTGTGGTCCCAGCTATGCTGGAAGCATAGGTAGAAGGAAAGCAATCCAAGATCAACCCCAGGCAAAATCTTGAGACTCTTTATCAAAAAAATAACTAAAAACACAACTAAAAGGCAAAAAAGGGCCGGGAGAATGGCTCAAGTGGTAAAGCACCTGCCTAGCAAGCATGAGACCTGCATTCAAACCCCATACTTCCCCCCATATTGTCTAGAATTGTGGTTATTCAGATGTGGTCACCCAGCAGCACTTGCCTCACTTGGGAACTTGTTAAGAATGCATATTCTTGTTCCCTAGACTGCTACAGCCCAGGAATTTGTGCTATAAAAAGCCCTCCAGGTGATTTTTGATGCTCACTCAAGTTTGAGGACCACAGGAATATAGGGGCATGAGGTTGTTTGATAAGAATATTCCACTGAGCATTATTCCTCTGGTTATTGGCTTAGAAACAGTCTAGTTCATAGAAGCCATCACTCATAACTGTGGCTAGCATGCATATTGCACAAATTCACATAGTTAGTCTCCAACATGGCCTAGAATATCCAGTGTTCCTAAAATGTATGTAATTATGGACTTTCTTTTTCATGGAGCGTCTCTCAGGGCTGGTGCTTGGGAAACAAATTCCTGGGCCTTGAGCGCTCCATCTGATGAAAGCTTTGTTATCTATCGTGCACCAAGCAAACTTCTGATTATTTAAATGTCCCAAGAAGATTTTTTTCCCCCTGTGATGAGGTTTCCTTGAACATTTCTCAATCTTGAGAAACCAACATTCTGATATTTATGCCTTAATTTTGCAAATTTGCAAGGTTTTTTTTTCTTTTTCGAGACTATATCTTCTTTTCTTATGAGAAACATCTTTTTCTCATATTGTTTTCTTTTTTGAGAATTTATCTTCTTCTCTTATGAACTGGATAAGTCAAGAATTCTGATTCTGACTTACAGATTGGAGCAAATGAGGTAAAGTACTGGTCTGAGGCAACATAGCTCAGGAGGAAAGGAAAGGGAGCAGTGTCAGATCTTGAGCTACAAGTAGTTACAAATGTTATCTCATTAAATCTGGAACCATCTCCTGGGAACCAACCGCTTTGTCAGTCCACCAGGAGATCTGATATATATTTACAATACAATTCTAACAAGAGGTCTTGTTCTGGAGGGGGATAAGGTTGTAAACTAAATTTAACAAAAATGGAAACTGGCCACTGTGTGCCTCTACCTAGGGAGGTGACCTTTGAAGTACTGTGTGATTTTCAAGCAAACATGACTTGCTGTTGAGAAGCCAGATTGCTTCTGAACAGTGCAGATCTCTGGGATGCAGTGGGTAGAGACTTTTGTTTTCCTCCCCACTCGTCACCAGCCTGGGTGGATGTTCTACAACTGACCTTTACCTCTTAACTTGCCCCACCCCAGTTAGGACAAGGAGGCAGACTTAAGAGAGTTTTTCCACTCCAGCCCCAGACCCCTACTCCCTCAAGAACTGAATTATAAAATACCTACTGTAGAACTTCATTAATATTGTCCAGATCAATTAGTGTCTTCTTTAATAACTTTACTTCATTGTCTAGCTTTGAAATCTTCCTTTGCATCTGTTTTATCTCCATGCGATTTAATTTACGAGCACTTCTGACACATTCTTAAAAGTAAGTGGAAATGTTACTAATTTATTTGAGAAAGAGCACAATTGTAGATGGTTTTCAAATCATGAAAAAAACATTATCTTTCTTTGAAATATTATTTTAATTATGTTTCTGTATCAGACATCTCTTACTTATCACTCTGGTCCCTCTAATCTTACCTATTTTTCTGTCTCTGATTCCTGCTGCTGCGATGGTGAACACCTTTCAGTGGGCTCTGAAAAACTTCAGATAGGTGTAGTCTGAGAGTGCCTGATTCTCACCTGCCCCTTGCAGTTCCTTCTTTTGCTGAGGACTTCCTGCTGCCTCTACTACGGGATTTCTTTAGACACCACACCCATGCATGTACAACCAGGAATTGTAGGAGGGGGAGCAAACATTGGATCAATAATAGACAGGAAACATTACACAAAAATTTCCTTCTTTCTCACTGATGGATTGGGGGATGGGGGCTGAGAAGAGGTCACAGTACGTGTTGGGAGCATGTTCATATAATTAATTAGCTGTAATTAGCCACAGCCAACATCAACAATGCACTCCATATTGACTCTCCTTCCTCCCCACTCCTCTTTGGATTCCACTCCCTAAATAATCACTACAGCAAAAGTCATTGTCTTATTCTGGGAAACCAAATGTATTAAAAAACTAATTTTTATAAACAAAAAATCAGCAAAATCACATAAAACTTCAGAGGATTACTCACAGCATGATAGATAAAAAGTCAACATGCAGGAATTTTTGAACACTAGTGTTTAAAAGTGGGAAGAACTATCCATTTCTACACACAAAAAAAATTCCCTAGATACTAGCTGCTAGCTACCCTGATAGAGTTAGGTTAATTTTTTCCAGTGGGTTGTTTGTTTGTTTGTTTTTTAGGCTATTAATTAAATTCTTCATTGTAGCAGGGCCTCTCAAACTTTGTGTCTCAAATATCCATATCCATCACCTGGGAACCTTGTTAACATGCAGACTCTGATTCTGTGCAGTAGGTCTGGGGTAGACTCAGAGATTCTGCATTTTCTCGGATGCTGATATGCTGTTAATCCAAAGACCACTCATTGAGCAGTAAGGCTTTTTGACAGAAAGTCAATTAAAATTTCTTGATTAAATATTCAGCATGTATCAAAGGATTTTATAAGCTAATATGATACAGTTTTTTTCCTTCTAAAATGTTTTTTCCTGTTTATAAATGTAACTCAATGTGGAAAATAAAGCAACCAAAGAAAATACAGCAAAAACACTCTTGATTCTGCCTTTGGTGATGATTTTTCTAAGTCTCACTTTTTATCTTTACACATGTACTGTGTTTATTTTCTCTGTCAAGCTAAACTAACACCAAGTATATTGTTTTATAACCTACCTTATCAGCCAGGGTCCAGTTAGGAGATAACAACTGCACAGTAAATTGAACAGAGGTTTGTTACAAAGAGCTACTAACCACTGTAGAGGATTAGGGTAAAGAGGAATGAATCGCAAGAAGTCAAGAGAATGCGAAGGAACTCAGGAGTAACAGTGTGAGGAGCAGCCACCATCCGTAGGGTCAAGATGAGGACTCAAAGCTGCAGCACCTCCAGTTGAAGAGGCAGACCTATTGGAGAGGATTGTGGCTCACTGGGTGACGAAGTTGTTTCTGAAATTCTGGGCTGGTGGAACTTGCTGGAAATCTACTTTTGGGAGTGTATTAAAAACAAAACCCAGAAAATAACAGGTGTTGGCAAGGATGTGAAGGAACTGGAACCCACTGTGCACTCCAAAATGGTGCAGTCACTGTGGAAGACACTATCCAGATCTTCACAAAATTGATTGCAGAATTATCTTACAACCCAGCAATGCCTTGTCTGTATCTAAAGCCAGAAGAACTGCACACAGATTGCCTCCAACTCTTGATCCTCCTGCCTCTGCCTCCTGAGAACTGGGATTATTCCTGGCCAAATACAGACCTTTAAAAAAGTTTTTAAAAAGCTTATTAGGACCTCTCTTTTAATATGGGATCCTTGGAAAACATTCTGAAGTTTGTGTGCATAGAATTTATTAAACATGCTTTCATGTGTATCTCTACTGGGGAAGTGGAGGAGGCAGGGCTAGCAGAGGGGAAGTTAAACCAAAGAGCATTGGCGTTTTGATGACACTGTGTCCTTACAGTGACCAACCACTGAATGTGAGTTTTACCTAGGGAGAGATGATAACCTTGAGTGATGTCTCTCTCTTTTTTCAAGGCAATTCCTAGAAAAGAACTTAGCTGTGAGCCTTAGCCAATAGTTCTGGCAGCTGGAAGAATGAAGTTGGGCCCTGACATTATTCCAAATGCAAAATTTTACTAAAGATGAAAACTTAAATAGAAGAGCTAAAACTATAAAACTCTTAGGGGCTGGGAGTGTAGCTCAGTGGTAGAACATTTGCCTAGCATGCATGAGGCCCCAGGTTTGATCCCTAGCACTGCAAAAAATAAACCAAAAACAGCAACAAAAATCTCTTAGAACATAGTGTAAAAGCTTCATGACCTTGGATACAATACCAAAACAAACAAACAAAAAAAGCATGGGCAACAAGGAAAAAGTAAATACATTAGACTACATTGAAGTTTTTTAAAAACTTGCTTATCAAAAGTCACTACCAATAAAATGAAAAGACAACCTGTGGGATGGGAGAAAAACACTTACAAATCATATATCTAACAAAGGGCTAACATCCAGAATACAGAAAGAACTCCACAAAAAATGGCAACAACCACAAAATCCAATTAAAAGGTGGGTAAAGGATCTGGGTAGACAGTTCTCCAAGAAGATATTCTCATAGCAATTTAACAAACACAGGAAAAGATGTTCACAATCACTAGTCATTGGGAACATGCAAATTAAAACCACCATGAGATCTCAAATCCATAGGATGGCTAGTATTAAAAACAAAACCCAGAAAATAACAGGTGTTGGCAAGGATGTGAAGGAACTGGAACCCACTGTGCACTGCAAAATGGTGCAGTCACTGTGGAAGACACTATCCGGATCTTCACAAAACTTGACTGCAGAATTATCTTACAACCCAGCAATGCCTTGTCTGCATCTAAAGCCAGAAGAACTGCACACAGGGTCTCGGCTAGATATTTGAACGTCCATGTGCATAACAGCACGGCTCACAACAGTCAAAAGATGGAAGAAGCAAAGTGTCCATCAGCAAACGCACAGATAAACAAAACGTGGTGAACAGATCCAGTAGAATGTTACTCAGCCTTCAAAAGGAAAGGCATTCTGACACATGCAATAATAGGAACAAACCTGGAAGACATTATGCTGAGTGAAGCAAGCCAGTCACAGAAGCACAAAGATTCTAAGTGATGCCACTTGGATGAAGGACCTAGAGCTGCCAAAAGCAGAGACAGAAAGTAGAACGGTGGGCTAGTCCAGTCGAGTTGCCTAATTTAACTGGATAAGTATTAAGTTTGGAATGGGCTGATTCATATATCTTTAATCTATTTAGAAACTAAATTATATAAATTAAATTTTGATATGCAGTATATTATTTCCATTTAAAATGCAAAGGAAAATTATTACGGCTCACACTGTGTTTATGTCAGATAATCTCTCTAGCTATATTTATAGAAGCGGCAACTATTCAACTTGTCTTGTCCAAAGTACTTGGCTGAATTTTCTTAGAGGATAAACTACATCTCTGCAGCTGATAACCTTGGAATTACCTTCCACCTCCACGTTAATGCCAGGGGGCACGGTCTCCAGCAGGAAGTAGAGCCTGCTCATTTCCATGCTTTCAATTTCCAAAAGGTCAATCGTGTTTTTTCTCATTTCTTCCTGAAAAAAATTAAATTGTATTTTTAAAAATGTTAACATGCCAAAATAGTAAGATGGGTTTTTTAAACAATGCTCCATAAGTAGTTTCTGGGGTCAAAATTTAATTTTCACTAAACATCTTCTGCCATTATTTTGATTTGGACTAGAAAGCAGAAAAAGAACATTTTCTACAGTTTTTAAGATCTTATTATTAATTTGTCTTTTAATTTCGCTGATTCTGAAATGTTTTTACTCTGTGTATTTGTTTCTCATATGCATTTTCAATCTATCCAAAAGGAAATAGTCTAATAAGAAGGGTAACATTGAGAAAGAAGCTATGTGTTAAAAAATTCCAATAAAATATGCTTACATATAAGGAAAATAATGGTTGTCTTACTCATCCATATAAGTCCGAACAGGTGAGGTTGATTTGTTTGTTTGTGTTTGGTGGGGCTACTTTAAAGAAGGAAAAACCATTTTAAAAGTAGTTAGTGAAAAAAGCAGATAACTCATCTTTTAAATAAATGGTGATAATAGCTATAGCTATTGTATGAGTGAGAAATTACCATTATATTTTGTCATCCAAAAATCAGATTACTTAATTATGTGTACAACGTGGTCATTTTTTCTTTTAAAAAATAAAATTCAGTTGGATGTAGTAGCTTACATCTGTAATCCCAGCAACTCAGGAGGTACAGATTGGGAGGATTAAGGCTCAAGGCCAGCACTGGCAAAAAGTTAGTGAAACTTCATCTTGACAAACAAGCCAGGCAGTGGTGGCACAGGCCTGTAATCCCAGCTACTCAGGAGACATAGATAGGAGAATCACAGTCTAAGGCCAGCCCTGGGCAAAAAACATGAGACAGATCTGAAAAACAACTAAAGATTAAGTGGTGGAGCACTTATGCAGCAAGCCATAGGCCCTGCGTTCAAACCCCAGTGCTACAAATCAATAAATCAATCATTAAAATAAAATAGAATTCAATGCAGGCATCATCCATATCCTAAAAGTATAAGGATATTCATCAAATAGTTAATTGTGAATATTTCAGGGCAGTGGGATCATGTTAGTTTTTTACTTTCTTACATTTGCTTACCTATTTTTTCCTGAAATTTCCAGAGTAAACGTATTATTTTCATTAAAATGAATATTTATTACTTTAAAAATGGAGAGATTTTTCTCAGTTATATAAGAGATTTCATGATTCAGATATTAAATGGATACATATTAGATATTTTAATTAGCCACAATAAATATTTTGGCTCCTACACATCCTGGAGGAAAACATAACTGAAAGAAGCAGAGGAGATAGGAAAGCATCCCAGGGAAGCACAACACACGGACTCCTACATCTCTACATGAGTCTATTCAACTGAGGAGGACTGGAAAGTGTGACAATGTGGTATGCATACAGAATTATACAATTACATAAAATACAAAGTGACGAGGTTTTTATCAGCAGTCTGTAGACTCAAACTCACTTTATAGCCATTTTTCTGTATTTTTAGGTATTTGATAGGTAGTAGATTCTTCTTCAATATTTTTAAATCAAATTAAGACCTCACCATTTTGGCCTTGCTGAAGAAGCAGTTTAAACATCATCCAGAGGTGACAGACATATGTCTGTGAGACCTCAGAAGGAAAGGTGAAAAACACTTTTTCAATGTCTCTGATAGGGGCCAGGTTAGTATAATTAAAAGCATTTCTGTTTGTTTCTTTTCACTAACATCACAGATGACTTCCATGGAGATGTCAATCTTTTACCAGTCAAGAAAGAAATTGCTTATAGGCATTATGTGTGTGAATTTTTTTCCTAGAAATTGTGTGTCATTTGCTTGTTTGTGTGGTTGGTTGGTGTTTGTTTGGTTGGTTTTAACCATCTTGGTTCATATGGCCTACCCATTAACATTGGCTCATGTGGCCTACCCATTAACTTAGCCCTCTTATTATCCCCATTGCTTTTCCTCAGTGGATTTGTCCTCATCCTTAGCACAGCCCCTACAAGTCCTTTTTTTTGTATGGAAAATGCACAGATTGCATGCAACAATCCGTGTTGGTATAAAAGCTTAGTAAATGGAAAGAATATATATACATATATAACACACACACACACACACACACACACACACATATATAAAACATATATAGTTAAATTTTTATGAAATTTTTATGTTATTTTATAACATAAAATAACATATATAGTTAAATTTTATGAAATTTTTATGTTACATTTTTTAACATATATAGTTAAAAAATAGCTCTTATAGATAATCCAATACCAATTTCTTAACAGCTACAGCAATGTCCTTAAGAAAGATCCTAGCTTCTTCATTGCATTTAAAATAGTCACTTTGCAGAGATTGTTCTGAAAAACAAAAAGATTAGGAAATTAAGACCTCTTATCTGTCCAAATCCTATGTAACCCTTTATGGTCTGGTTCAAATGCTAGAAGTTCCATGACTTCTGAGTCTATTGTACTCTACCCGAATCTCTTTTGGACTTGTTTCCTAATATAGATATATAATGCTCCTGGGAGAGTATAATAACTCCTCTTAAGAGCATCTTTGCATATCTTATGGTAGAAAGAATAGGGTAAAAATAAACATTTATGAGGGTGACTAATCTGTCTATAATGTGGGTTTGATTAAGCAAGGTTTCATACATATACACATAAAATATACTAAATATAAAATATACATTGAATCAATTGTTTAAAAATCCGTTGTGTCATTTTCACTTCTGTGCAAAAATGGAAGCATGGACTGAGATCGCATATTTGCAAAACTGGTAGGTTTGAAAAGTTTTTTTAATTGACATACATAATGATGTCTCTTTTCCCTCACACTGTCATTAGAAAGCCTCTGAGAAGAGGGTCTTGTGAAAAGGCAGGAGATGACAAGATACATACGGAATGAGAAGGAAGGGAAGAAAGCATGCAAGGAAGAAAAGAGAGAGAATTACTCTTAGCTTGGCTTTGTGACCACTGCATCATGGGGACTCTGAATGGGTTCCAGGCCACCATCCTCATGAGTGATTCATGCTATGAATGGATTATCTTATGACTTTATGATCCCTATTTTACAGATGAGAAATCAGACTTTTGAAATAATATTACATGTGCAAAGTCACAGACCTGAGCAGTGGTAGTGTCTGGGTTTAAACCCAATGGGGGTGACTCCAGGGCCCCTTCTCTTAATGGCCAGTCCATCATTCAAAAGACAGAATAACAATGTCTGCCCTTAGTTCCAGGGAACTTGGCCTTTCCTACTGCACTGTGCTCTTAAACCAAGTGAAAGCCAGCTAGTGCATTTGCAAGTCAGTGTGTTAATGAAGCACTGGCATATTTCCTTTCTTTTATGTTTTAGGGAGTGAAACAACACAGCTTATTCCTGCTTGCAAATGGGTGGGAAACCTCCCTATTTTACAACTCATACTCAGAGCAAGAAGGCTTAAAGTTGTTACTGGTTTTTTTCCTGTGAAAAAATTTCTGAAGGCTCAGACATCATTAGCAGAAACAATATTTATGCCTAAGTGCTATGGCTGAATGAACATGTTGACCTGAGATCAATCATAAAGAGAATTTAAGGTCCATGCTCTGTCATTAACAATTCCCTTGATTCATATGAGTAATTTAAGTCTTGTGTTAACATTCTAACACCATTCCGCGCCTATCTGCCAAGGACTACTGTAAAATTAAATTCTGCCCTGTAAGAAGGAAAAACAGAGAAGCTATCCTAAAGTAACAGCAACATTGTAACAAAAAGCAGTGTTGATTATTTTGAAGCAATATGATGACTGTAATTAAACAGTAAGATGCTTTGCTATTGTGTAAACTATTTGTGTGTGCGTGTGCGTGTGGGTGTGTGTGTGGTGAGCACAAATGTCTTTTCTTGGACTAAAAGGTTGAGCATCCAAGGTCATTTCGGTCCCAACCTCAAACATTCTTTTTAATCTAATAAAACGGACGCCTCTTCACCTGCACACCCATGTTTATTGCGGCACTATTCACAATAGCCAAGTTATGGAAACAGCCAAGATGCCCCACCACTGACGAATGGATTAAGAAAATGTGCTATCTATACACAATGGAATTCTATGCAGCCATGAAGAAGAACGAAATGTTATCATTCGCTGGTAAATGGATGGAATTGGAGAACATCATTCTGAGTGAGGTTAGCCTGGCCCAAAAGACCAAAAATCGTATGTTCTCCCTCATATGTGGACATTAGATCAAGGGTAAACACAACATGGGGATTGGACTATGAGCACATGATAAAAGCGAGAGCACACAAGGGAGGGGTGAGGATAGGTAAGACACCTAAAAAACTAGCTAGCATTTGTTGCCCTTAACGCAGAGAAACTAAAGCAGATACCTTAAAAGCAACTGAGGCCAATAGGAAAAGGGGAACAGGTACTAGAGAAAAGGTTAGATCAAAAAGAATTAACCTAGAAGGTAACACCCACGCACAGGAAATCAATGTGAGTCAATGCCCTGTATAGCTATCCTTATTCAACCAGCAAAACCCCTTGTTCCTTCCTATTATTGCTTATACTCTCTCTACAACAAAATTAGAGATAAGAGCAAAATAGTTTCTGCTGGGTATTGGGGGAGGGAGAGGGAGGGGGCGGAGTGGGTGGTAAGGGAGGGGGCGGGGGCAGGGGGGAGAAATGAACCAAGCCTTGTATGCACATATGAATAATAAAAGAAAAAAAAAAGAAATATCACAATGAATCCCCTGGTACAAAAAAAAAAAAACAAAAAACAAAAAACAAAAAAAAAAAAACGGACGCCTCTTAAACACTTCCTATTTGCCCAGTAAAGTCTTCAGTTTACGATGCCAAAACGCAAAAGGAGATGAATTTGCAAAACAAAGGCGGGAAGAAACAGTCAAGTGGGAGGCGTCATCTAATGCAGGGGTATACTCAGGTCTTGTGGGCTGGAATCTCTCTCCTCTCTCTCTCTCTCTCTCTCTCTCTCTCTCTCTCTCTCTCTCTCTCTCTCTCTCCCCCTCCCTCTCTCCGCCCTCTCTCTCGCTCTCTCCCTTCCCTCCCCACTTTCCCCTTCCTATCCTCCTCCTCTCCTCTCCTTCCCCTCCACTCCCTCCCTTTCTCTCTAGTCTCTCTCACTTCTCTCTCTCCTGCCACCCGCGGCCTCTCACCCACAACCAGAAGCTGCTCTAGCGCGGCGGCCGCCACCGAGGAGCCAAGGGTGTTGGGGAAGGTGCACAGCTCCAGAGAGAGGCTGGTGGACACGGAGGCAGGTCGCACCGAGGGGCTCCAGGGCCTCAGCGCCATCTTGCTGCTTCTGCCTCCCTGGCCTGAGGGGGACGGTTGCCACCGCAACGAGGACGCCGAGGTCCTCGGCTGCCCCCTGGTGGCCAACACTTGGCCCGGTACGAGCCGCATGAATTAGGCGGCCCTGGATGGAGGGCTCCCTCTTGAGGTTTGAATGCCTCTTAGGTATTGCTTGATCTCCACTTTTACAGACAAGGAAACTGAGGCACGCAGGACTAAGTAAACTGACCGAGGCCATAGGAAGGTAGCAGTGGAGATAAGTGAAGTCTATTTGAATCAGATCACTGGGTTTTGTTAAGAACTTTTTTCTTAACAGTCTGCCTGTCTTCCTTCTAATTGTGAGTTCTTTGATGACAGCAGGATATTATTTTTCTCTGCATCCCCAAAACTGCCTTGTGTTGGGCTCAGCTTGAGTGTGACTGGCTGACTAGAGACAAACACAGCAGATTCAACTCCCTACTCTTCCTAACATTTTTTTTTCTTTCTTTCTTTCTTTTTTTTTTTTGATGGTACTGGAGTCTGTTCAGGGTCTCACTTTTGTTAGGCAAGTACTCTACCATTTGAACCATACCACACCTCTTTTTATGCTTAGTTATTTTTTGGATAGAGTCTCAAGTTTTTGCAGGGCTGGCCTGGGGAAGCAATTCTTCCTCTCTATGCCTCCTGCGTAGCTGGTATCACAGAAATGAACCACCATTCCTGGCATGTTGGTTGAGATAGGTGTTGCTAACTTTTTGTTCTGACTAACCTCAAACTGTGATGGCTGCTTTCCCAGGTACCTGGGATCTCAGATGTATGCCACTACGCCCAGCCCCTACCTTTTCTTTACTGTTGGTGAAACTAAAGTCACAATGATAGTAACAATAACGATAGCTGTCAATTGTCAAATGCTTATTATGTTTCAGGCACTGTTTTAAATACATATTTTACCTTCAGTACCCCACTTAACCCTCATAGTAATTCTTTGAGGGAGGTATTATTGCCCATTTTGCCTATGAGGACCCTGAGCTGTGCCATGAGTCATCATGCTACAATGCCTGGGAGGCCACAGCACATCTATGGCAGAGCTAGTTCCAGAATCCAGGCCTCCTTCATCTAGGGAGAGCCGTATCCTGGCCTTGGACATTGTCCTCATTTCTCTTCTTTTTTCCAGATTCGGCCTTTTTGTGTTTAGACCTGTTCTTGCCTTTCTGTGCTCTCCTCTGTGTGGTAAGAGTAAGAATCCTGGCAAACATTTCTAGAGCACCCTTTCTGTCATCTGGTTTCTGGATGAGTTCCACCAATAGGAACCATTGGCACAAGATTAGAGACCAAGAAGCCATTCTGTTTCTTGATTAAGGTGGCCACTCTAGGAGTAGTTGTTTCAGGCCACAGTTGACTGCAGATCCCAGCAGTTTTGGTGGCAGGAGTAGGATTCATCAGCCTAAGTGTGGGCCTATGGACTCAGTACATGGGTTGTGTGAGCTTTCTGACTTCAAGTATCTTCTTTATCTACTTCCCCGTTGGCATCTATCGCCTTGTAAACCATCCCTGTAATAATTTCCTCTCTTCTGGAAGTGTCTAGACCAGACATCTCCAAGCCAATCTTTGTGCTGTCACCAGGATGCTCTTCCCTGTCATCACTCCACTGGTATCATGCTGCTCTTCATTGTCTATGAGTGACAGTGATAGTGAAACCCTAAGGGGGTACTTCCCACTCAAGGCATTTGTGATAGGTTTTCTGGATTTTTATGTCTCTTTATTCCTCTTCTTGTTCTAGTACTTGATTCTGTCTGAACATGCTCTGTGAGAAATGTCTAGCTTCTACCTAGCTCATCTCTTTTACATGGAATGCCTTTTACAAAAGCCACCTCATCCTTTTCAAAAGGAACTTTATTAATTCTGAAATAGAAATATGAACAAACACTTCATGAAGAAAAAACTCCAAGAAGCACATTGAAATGTATCTTCATTAGTATTTAAAGAAACACAATACGCTTATTTCTGTGTTATGTAATCAACATTAAAAAGAATAATAGTTCAAAATGTTGATAAGAGGAATAGGAATAGCTCTATCCTATAAGAATTTGGAATTATGTTTGTAGTAGCTACAGTAATAATTATGAAAATGGTTCTTAAAGAAATAATCACAGCCATGTCCAAGGGCATAGGTATGAACTTTTATTTATTGTAGTTTTATTTTTAATAGTGAAAAATAACACACAGTAGTAGTAAGACATTGCTTTTAAGTAACCTGTGGGACAGTGGGACAACCTAGGAGGCAAGCCACCAAGTGGTCTGGAGCCTGGGTTCTAACGGATCTAAATGAGATCTACCACTTACTGGATGGAGAGTCTCTCGGACAGTCACCTCTTCACCAGTACAGCCCAGACCCCCACTCTCTGGGAGTGGAGTTGATTATGGTAGCTCTTAGTTCATAGGATCGGTGGAAAGATACGTGAACTGTTCATGCTGTGTTCAAAGGATGGGAGATACCAAACAACCGTGATGGAATGGTTAAGTAACAGTGTGGTGCTGTTAAACATAACAGGTAGAAATGTACAAGTATACACAGACATGTAATGAAATCTTTGGTTGAGATGGATATGTTCACTATTTTCATTGTAATTATTTACTTTATGTGTGTTTACATGTCAAACTCATCAAATTGGAGCTTTAGCTATGTGCAGTTTATTGTGTTTCAATTATTTCTCAATAAATCTCTAAAAAAGAAAATAAATAGTGCATTTAGTGTTCACTGATAACACCGTATAAGGACCCTTCTCAGTAAAACTTACAAAAATTCTCCAGAAGCCTCATGTGTTTCTCAACTTTCTATCATTGTGACAAAATACCTGAGATAACCAACTTAAAAGGAGGAAAAGTTTAGTTTGGGACAGGGTTTCATTCATTGGTTGGTTGGTTGGTTGGTTTGTGGGCCTGGGGATGAAGCAGAACACCATGCAGGGAGCACATGGTGGAGCAAAGCTGCTCACCTCATGGTGGCCAGGAAACAAAGAGAGAAGGATGGGTAGGATCCTTATAACCCACCAAGGACCTGTCCCCAGTGACCTAACTTCCTTCCCCTAGGCCCCACCTCTTAAAGGTTGCACCACCTCGCAATAACCCCATAGATGAGGGCTCAGACTTCAAAACAGAGAGCATTTTAGATCCAAGCAACAGCACCCCTGAATCTAGCCCCTCAGAAACTAGAATTCAGTGAGCAATATTTGTGGCCTCCAAGGACCTGTCAATCTTACTGGTATAAGTTGTGGACAGAGGTGAAAAGCTCTCCAGGTTTCTGAAGTTGTAAAACAAAGAGATAATTGATTTGCTATTATAAAAATCTATATTCAGTTCATATGTTCCAATCTCTATCAAAGAAAAGATGCCCAAATAGACTCAAGTATATTTTTATATATTGGCCTTTGTATAATGGACTAAGTTGGTGCTTCTGGACAATTTAAGAGGTGATATGGCCAAAAATCAAGGTTCTTTTTGTAAACTTGCAGTAAGTATATGTTGAATGAATATACATTTCAAACCTTAAATTAAAAGGGAAGAATCAATGAGGTTTCTAACATTGACTAACAGGGTGTTTTGTTCCTTTCCTGTTGTGTACTAGGATCTCCCAAATTTAAGCTTTCAAGCTGCCTTTATGCCTCGAAGGGCTATAAGATGTTTATTCATTAGGTAAAGGTTCTTTACTCCTTGGGTTTCTAGCAGCTTCCAAAGTGCCTGTCTTGTGGTCAGGCTCCAGTTCTCAGGTACAGTGACTTCAGCACATGGTTATTTGTGGTCAGATAGCAGGGAGATTATGTTCCCTAGATAGGGGGACAGATTGTAAGAGAAGCAAACAGATGGGGCAGTGCCTTTGATGGAGTCATGCCAAATAAGGAAAGCAAGGCATCTGAGGAAGGACCGACCATGCCAGTGTTTGCAACAACACCCAACTAAGAGGCCCCATTTCAACTTTCTCTTGACTACTTGTTTTTTCCATCATCAGAAATTTCTTGGGGTGAAAACAGATTTGGGATAAATATTGATTATATCAGATTTAGTGTGGTTTTAGAGTGGCTTAAATAGTTAACCTCTTGGTTTTCATTCTTTATCTATAAAATGAGATTTTTACATTCTGGGAATGTGAAGACTAATTAAAATAAAGATGTGCTAACCACAGAGCACATGCTAGATATTTCCCATCTTTTCCTTCTACCAGTGGAAAATCAGAAGTATTTCTTCTGAAATGCAAATGTTACTGTCTTTTCTGCCATCTCTGGCTTTCCTTCACCCTCTTGGTCACCCAACCCTGAGTGAACATTAATGTAATGAAATCAACAGCTGCGATTCCAGAAATGGGAAATTGATTTTGTCTCCATGCCATTTCTCCTGGATGGCAGTGACTGCCAGGAAGTTTCTGAAACCAAATCTTAGTGCAGAAGAAAGAGGGTTCCCGAGGCACCAGAGAAAAGCCTGGCTGAACGTGAGTTAGTGCCAGGCTCATCAGTTCAAGTGTTTGTTGCATGCCTGCTGTGTTCTAGGCCCTGAGCAGGTAGAAAAGAGACCTGTATGTGGCACCAGGGAAGGGCCCTCTGAGGAAGAGACACCAGAGCATTGAGGAGTCAGGCTGCTCTTGTTAGTCTTTCAGCAAAAGGAAAAAGGTGAGAAAAAGAAGAGGAGAAAGGGGAGAGAGAAGAGGTAAGGATTTGGAGATAGTAGCCGTCAGTCCTCATGGGATCCTTCTTCTTCTCCATTCTAGAAACTAAGAGCTTGAGCAGTTTGATTTTCCCTGCAAGTTCACTTTGTCTCATTAACCTCATTATCATGCATGAGGCTTTATTAGACACCAAATAATCTAATCAGCCCCTAAACAAAACACATAGATAAGATTTGGCCCCTGTTCTCCAGAAAATGGCCTTGAAAGTGAGCATGGTTGAAGCACAGCTACAACCAGATGTACTTCCCTGTAAACAGGGCAGTGTCATATAGCTGCTGTCCACACCTGCAAAGCATTTTGCATTCTTACAGACTCGGACATGCTTCCAGAACTTTCTCCCAACTCTCTGGAATGATTACTATAATTAACCTACTCTTTGGAAAATCACACTGAAATGAGAGATTCAATGACTTTA